TTTAGGAGAGTTTATCTACTAATAAAATAAAAGTTATATATGTCTGCTGATAGTACAGGCTCTGCATGAGTCATGTGCCACGTGATTTAATTTGTTTTTTCTTTCAAATGAGCCGTAATGTTGGCTTATCACTTATGATATTCTTATCTTCCCTATTTATTGTGTAGATTGTGGGCAATTTTTAGGATAACATTTTAATAATTTTTACTGAATTTTAATATGTTTGTTAAAAATACTTACACTTTTTATTAACACTCAGACTGTATTCTTAACCAGTTACCTATATTCTGGTTTATATTTATTTGACCTAATGATAATAAATTATTTTATTAAATAAACTTATCTTGGATTCAATTAAAACAGAAAAACAATCATTTATATATAAATTCAGTTTATTTAAAATGTAAAAACAGGATTTTATCTGAATTTAGAACTTCTAATAAGGTGTATAAAAAAAAATTACTGTTTCAAGATTTTAAAGGACTGTAAATATGTTAATCCTATTTAATACTATCCAATACTTAATAATCCCTTTAGAGCATTATCTAAGTTTGTTTAATTAATTTGACTTCTTTTAATAAAAACCTCAGATTAGTTCTAAAAAAGAAACATGAGTGTCCTACGAAGTTCTTGTAATTTTAAGGTATTACTGGAAAAAAAATTTCACAATAGCTGAAGCAACTCGTGAAATTATCAAATATGATGGGGAATGTGTCCACCAGCTCACTGCGCAGCGTTGGTTTGAAAAATTTAGCAGTGGAGTTATGACACTGGAAAGAAAGAGGGGCTAAGACCATTAATGGATATTGATGAGGTTCTACTGGAAGCTGTTGAGTCAAATCCATTCACAAGTACTCGGGAACTTGCCAGGTAGTGTCTTGTGTCGAAAGATACTGTTAATCGTCATCTACTCTCCATTGAGAAGGTTAAAAAGAGCAGTAGACTGGTCCCTCACAAACTTACTCCTCAGCAATCAGTTGAGAGATTTGTGAACATTTATTGAAAAACCCTTCTGATATGAGATTTTACCGGAAGATTGTTCTCGTGTGATGAAAAGTGTGTTTACTGGCAAAATCCAATACCTGTGAGCAATGGCTAGATTGAAGCTAAATTGCTTCTTTAGTTGCTGGAAGGGGGCAATTTGAAAAATAATCCATGATTTGCAGGTTTTTTTTTTTACTTTTGAAGATGTTATTCATCACAAATTTATTTCTGATGGATGCTCTGTGAATTCTAAACTCTACTGCAAACAATTGGAAAGATTGTAGGCAAAGTTGTCAAAGCGTTATTCTGATTTTATCAACCGAAAAGGAATTTTATTTCGCTTGTCCTGACACTTTCCGTCGAACCAAAGAAAAGTTGAAAGAACTTCATGGATTCGAACTCCTGCCTCATCCACCATATATTTCAGACCTTGCACCATCGGATTATTACTTATTCAAATCCTTTGCCCATTTTCTTCAACAGAAAAATTTGATATTGCGGTCCAAGAGTTCTTTGACAGCCGTCCCAAAGAATGGTATCAGCAGATGGCTAATGATGGTAGATAACAATGTACTATACGTTGAGTTATACACCCTATTATTTTTTAAAATTTTTGTTTACCTCTATGATTTTTTTATCATATCTAATCCTAAATTTTTTTTTAAAACTACTTTTTGGTATTAAAAATTATTGCTTCTGAATACCATACATTGTAATGGTAATGCATGAATGCTGGTATAATTTAATAAGTGAAAGAATAAAGTTAAGAGCTATCTTTTTGTTTTGAAAAACCATTGTGATTTCTATCAAATTTCATGATCTTTTCTTCAAGGGTTATGTAAAATGAAATTCCAAATAACTAGTTTTAGCTTGACTGGCTGGAAATAAAAACTACAGTGTTTTTTTCATAGGCTTGACCAGTATGATATGATATCATCAGAACTAAATAAATTAAAGTAACTGAAAGGTTATTAATATATCGGGTTGCCAGGCTTAGTTTCCAGGCATTTGGTCTTAGTTTGTATGGACTGTCTTATGTTTGTTACCATGAGTCTTACTTTCATTAGCATTGCATTTTATATTTCAAATTATTTTAGTATATTTTTCATTTTACGGGATTCCTTTAATTTCGTTCATGACTAGAATTGAACCCACATTTATGAGCATGAAAGGAAAATCCAGCCTCCCCGAGACACACACTAAAATACTAAATATTTTTTTTTTTGTTTTTACAATTTCTAAACTTGTATGCGGTTTTAGTTTATAAGTTATGATAATAAAATAATGAAAAAAATATGAAATTTGATCAAAATTATTAAAATACAAAGAATACACATGGTTACAAAAAGAAAATCATGTTCTCTCAGTGTTAGCAAAAACCGATCAGAATATTAGGGAAAAAAACATGACCATTATCTATTTATACATATATTTAAAGAGTTTACACAGACAACGTATTACTTCTAGAATTGAGCGTTGGTTTTTTTCATATGAAGAAATGGAGATTCAAAAATAAAAGTTTCAATTTTTACAAATATTTAATGTAAAAATTGTTTAAGATAAATAAATGTTCTTTAGATCTAATTAAAGCGGAATTATTAATGACTGCAAATTCTCAAAAATATTGTATTACATTTTTTTTTACTTTCACATACCCTTATGTATTTTGTGTGTGTGACATATGTAATATACAGTAAGAGAAAGTACTGCAATCGTGAAAATTTTCAATGAAAATACACTTTTTGAGATCACCTGAGTCCAAAAAAAAAAATTATTTCTGAAACTGATCTTATAAATTACATTGAATCACTAATTTTGGTGGTTAAAATAATGTCCAATCCAAGCAAGTATTGAAAACCTCTATGGCGTTTCAATGACATATTTATAATAAAAAATAAAATCCGTGTAAATAAATTTTCCAGTGAAATAAAGATTAATGTAAAAACGCATTTCTTGCCTGCTTTTGAAATTATCAAGTCAACCTTTTTCTGGCATTATAATCTGTTTTTTCATTCTTCTTAAAAATATATATAAATGAAAAAATATACTCTTCAGCTAATATGCCCCCGAAAATTGTGCATCCTCATGATTACCTACTGATTAAATTATATATAAAGAGATTTCTCAACTTCTGGATGACTGCCTAATTATGATGTTTTCGTTTAAGAGACACCACAATACTATTTTGACACTACCACACGAAGCAATTCCAGTAATATGATGTACTGAGAAACAGAGCCATTTCCATTTTGTCTGTCGTCAGTCAACTTTTTTTTTCTTGTTCAGATTATTGAGACTGTCTTGTATATTATTCAGTGAGCAAATGACTGTATATAATTGAAGTAAGTAAATGCAAAGTATTAAGAGAGGAAGAAATAATTTGTATTCATTATAGATCAAAAGGTGTACAAATTATAATAGGCTGTCTCTTTGCTTAAAATGGTTCGAGTTCATTGATTTTTTCTTCATTTTTTAGGGAATTTAGAAACTTCTAATTAATCATTATTAACCATAAATTGTATACATCTTGCATTAATCGAGAAGAAATTTTCCTTTTCTTTATAACTTTTTTTTCTGGTTCCTGAGGGATGTGCTTATTTTTAACACCTGGGAAGATAGTCATCAAAATAATGCTTCAATTATTGGATTTGATGAAGAATTACTGAGTATTTGGAATCAATCTGATCTGATTATTTTGAAATTCGATATCTTTAATATTTCTACTTTTCCTAAATTTCTTGTTAATTATTTTTACAATTTCTTTAGATTTCTATTTAAAGTGTCAATGGTTAAATTTCTTTTTGTTTCTGAGCTTGCGATTTCAAAGATTCAATGGTTTGAAAAGATGAAACTCTTTTTCATTTTGTGTTGAATTTTCCACTTAATGAAATCAATTCTCTGTGCTCTCACTATCTGGAATTCAGCGATATTGTAGCTTTTTTCGAGTCATGCACATTTTGCACAGTTGCCAGAAGGTTTTGATTGTTTTGAAGGTCATTCAATATAATATTCCCACTTATCACTCTCTTCTTTGCTTTGTCTCGTTCCATGATTAGTAATGCCGTCCTCAAGACGGGGAATCCAGGAATTTTCCCAGAGGCGCGGGGATTGAAGTGCCCTCCACTTATTAGAAATTTAAAAAGAGAATACAAAACATCAGAAAAATAAATTTTAGCCTGTTAATTAACGCTAACTGATACTGTAGTCTATGTGCAAAACGCTTTATACATTCTATATTTATTTACAAGACCATCTTTCATTTAATATTTCATTACGTTTTTTACATCATAATTTGCTGATTTTTAAATTACACGTTTTTACAAAAGGCCATAGAGAAGAAATGAAACATCGTAGATTTCATTTTATGAGATCAGAATATGCGCCAGGACAAGTTTGACCAGAAAATCTCATTTTCCAAAGAAATTGTTCTAACAGGCTTTTAGCAGTGGGGATGTCGAAATGTTTTTGTCGTTAGTGTTACTTTCTGTTAGGGAATTCTCTTTACCTAAAAAAAAAATTTGATTTATTCCATATGACTCCACTAAGATGCGTTTCAGCTTGTCCACTTCCTCGATTCTTTGTTGTCACTCATATTAAACAAAAGTGGGAGTATTGGATTATTAAATTTAATTTTTCCAAAGATGTTTTTTGTCCAATTTTATGAAATTATTCTATAATTCCTTTTTTTTTTATTAGCTTCTTTTCTTGACATCTATGAAAGCTTAATGTTCATATATATTTATTTATAATCAATTGAGAAACTTATAACTTCATAATTATGTTAACATTTCTTGTTCTTTACCTCAATATAAACATAATTTTTTTTATATCTCATTTTAATTTTTTATATTAAAAAGTAATCTATAATAAGTATTTTTAATATATTCAATTGACGTGGAAAGTGCTGTACATAATTTTTTTAAAACAAAACAAAGCCCAGTTAGAGAGTTATATAGTTTAAAATAAAAGAAGTGGTTGATGATGATGAGCGAATGAGCGAGCGATGACCAATCTAGGTGGCGCTGGAGGTAGGAGCAGCGGCAGGACAGGCGGTGAGGAGCGCAGAGTACTCATGAGGCTCCATCGAACTCCGCTGCCATCTACTCTGGACCTGACCTTGCCGAGAGGGAACACACCGACTTCGCCCCTGCTACAGTCCCAGCTCGACAAGTACGTATTTTGTATGTGACGATCAATTAGCTACGCTCTCTGGGTATAATAAGAATGTTGCATCAGGATTGTTTTTATGTATTCCTCAATATGTTACTTAATCATTTATGTTATTATTTATTTAGAAATGCTGAAAGCAAATATAAGTAGAATAGATAGAGAGGGGATATATCATGCTTCACTTTTTTAATATTTTAATTAAATGAAAATAAAAGAAATAATCACAAAAAACGAAACCTTTTGTAATGAACACCACTGCCCTATGGACCGAAAACCAGGAAACGTACAAATTAAGTCTTGTTTGCAGCTGTTAGATGTGTTCAGTTGAATTTTCTTCACCTAAAAATAAATTAACTCCCCTTAATGGACGCTTTATTTTTTTATTATTTTTTTTTTGTGGTATAGCATGCCGTGCCCTCATTAGCTTTTTGTGTACCGTAAATTCGCTGTTTTTATCAAAATTATTTTTGTAGCATCATCAAATTACAAAAGAATTGTTGGATTAACAAGTTCACACAGCCCCTATCTCTTTTTTTTTTTTTTTAATTTAAATTATGCCCTATTTCACCATTTCTGGCATACAGGAATGAAGATGGGGTTGTTCTAGGGGTTCAACAAAATCTACTTTAAACAGAGTGTGAAGGTCGAGATTCGTTCTGTGGGTTCTGTCATGAAATAAATTTCAACCCTCCCAAGCCAGATTTGAACTGGTGCTAGACTCTAGAATTTTAAAGTGGACAACGCTTCAACACGTTCAGCCTTAGCTCTTAGGATCCACCGATCGGTTCACCATAAATATCTCAAACTTGTAATTCAATGAACTTATTGCAAAAACAGATTATAAAATAAGCTCTTTTCAGTGCCTAGTTGTACATACGGCTAATTCAGTGTTCTGTGAACATTGTAGATCTCTATAAATCTGCTTGGAAATGCCCTTTCCAAACAGAGCTGTAAATCGCTTCTTGCAATGAGATCATCAATGCTGTATTGAGTGTAATAGCTTCTTCTTATGTCAATATTGTTTATCTTTAAAGAAGTAATCTTCCTCCTTTTGGCAAAGCTGAGACTTATATGACACATACTGGTTCAGAGGTTATGGGAATGTTCTGAGTCTTTCCTCTTTGATCTTGTAGAATAATTGCCAACTTTCAGTATAGAAAATCATATTTTTTTCTTCTTTGTGTTCCTCATTTATAGCTTGACCACAATTGGTTGAAAATTACATTATATTTTTCCCTAACTCTCTGTCTATGTTACAAAATATTTATAAATATTGGTAGGTGATAACATCTGCTACTGTATGGATCCGTTTGTAAATATTTTGTAACCAGCTAATCGTTATTGAACTATACTAGTGTGAAGGTACAATAACTAGCAACTTGAGTTGAAATACTGATATGTATTTGTCCAGAGGTATTGAAAAATCTTGTTGAGGTTTGCCTACCCACCAGATGCCTCATCCTTGGCCTCAGGTACTAAGTAAGAGAGACATCTGTGAGAGCAATGTTAACACACCATTGCCTGTTGTGATAGCAGGTTTCACCACAGCACCTGTAGAAGTAGATTTCATTGCGTCTGTTATTATTAAACAGCCTATTGTCTATAACTTCTAACTAGGTTTAAGCCCTCAATTTTTTTCCACATCTCTTTTTTTAAATCTTTCTTTGTTATTCCTATTTACTTTGAAAATATTTCATAGTAATTTACGATCCAGTGTAAATTAATATAACATAACTTGCCCTCCTTACTCGAGATTAGCTGGTTCCCATTCATTTTGAAATTGACATTTACAAAATGTTGTAAGTTGGGAAAACCATATTATACTTAATGTATTTTGTTTTGATAAAAATGCATACTTAGGTATATTTAAATATGTACATACTTATCTTGTAGATTTTCTTTTTACTTTGATTTACCGATGTATGAAATATATAGTGCAGATAAGTAGTGTGATCGTGAAAAAATTTGAATTTAGAGTTAGAAATACTCATTATGAGGTCTCCTGACATTTTGAATAAACTATAATTGTTTATTATTAAAAATGCATATGTGATCAATTATTTAGGGAGGAAAGATCAGGTTTTGACAAATTGTCAGTAGATAAATTTAAGTCTATTTTTCAAAATAGAATCATACTTTAAGAAAAAGAATCGAATGTGTAATTGGACTTTTTATAGTGTCAGTTTGTCTAAAAAATCAATTGTGGTTGAATGAGTATTAATTAAAACTGTCATACTCTTGAAGTTGTCAGTGTTCGACTATTGTTTGTCCATGTTTGTGGTTGATACTTTTGATTTTTTTTATTTTGTATTATTAATGATCCTTAATGATATTTTTAAAAAGTGATTGAACGTAATGAATTTTTTAGAGATGGATATATAGTTGACTGTTGAAATTGGAAGGTTGAAGTCTATAAACATTGACTGAGTATCCTGATAATTCTTCATACTTGTAATAATTTTTTTTAAATTTGATTATATTTCACTTAACTGTTCCAATAAAAATTATTATTTGTTATGCTTTTTGTATTAAATGTTTTGCTCTGTGATAGTTGAGTTGCAAAGTTTGTGTATTTAGCCTTCGGCTTTTCTTTCTTTCTTTTTAATTTTAAATGGCCTCTAACGATTAAATGTATAGGTTTCGGAACTAATTATGTTCATGTTGTCTTCATTATGAAAATTATTTGTGTTATTAAAGCATAATATATCCTTTTCTGTTCTCGTGCCAATGAATTTTTTTTGTATTATCATTAAGCAATTTTAATTTCAATTTTGGTAATAGTCTTTAACCTCTTCACATTCACATTTAAATTACAGCCTTCGATTATAATTTGAGATTTTTTTCTTAATTTTTAAATACTTTTTCATATTTTAAAATTTAATTTTTTTTTTTTTTAATGTTTTATAAGCTCTTGATTATAAGCAGAGAAGAAACCACATCGGTGGAGCTTAGATCGGTTCTAGCAAATACCGTTACATGTCTTCCAGTGTCTATTCTTTAAGAATGCTCTCATCGGCCTGAGTTTTCGTTAAACAAATAAGTTTGATTTCATCTTTCTTTTAAAAGAGGGATACCTGTACAGATTATTAAAAATATATATATTTATCAGTCCAAGAAAGAGATCCCTCTCCTTCATATATTGAAGCAGGACGGTTAATTAAATTAATTAACAATTTAATTTAATACTTTTCAAAGGATTCATGATTAGTATAAGTTTACTAGTATGTCACCGTTCGTCTTCAGATTGTACCTCATCAAGTATCATTTGTTTATTATATATATTTTTATATAATTTCTTAATATAACATTTTCTAAATTTTTCATAAGTTCTTTTGTTTTTTGACGTAAGTATCCTCCTTTATATTTCTCATTGTTTTAGAGAGTAGTGCATGGGCATTATTTTACTAATTAGCATGGCCTGTTCAAAATCAACCTTATACTTATTAACATGTTTGTTGTTATTTCATTTATATAATTAATAACAATTATTGTTTTGTTTTAAGTTTTACTATGAATGATATTTTAGAAATACACAAAGGTAGTAATAGGTTTTGAAGGGCAGAGGCAATATCTTTAAAATATAATCATTATTAAATAATAATTACAAACTTTACCATTGTTGTATTATTTATAATTAAATCAACATTTAACAGCTCTTATAATCAGTATGATAACATAATTTGTATATTGCACAAATACCATTTTACCGTTTGTTCCATTTTCAAAAATTGTTTATCTAATAAGAAATCGGTCTCATAAATCATATTTTTATTTGTCAAATAAAATTCCTAGGAAATATAATATTTTCTTTCTCTGATATCTATTGAGTCAGGATCACTGACCAGGCTAAGATGCTTGTAATAAGTAATCAAAAGTTTAACAACATTGAGTGTGATAAGCAGGAGTATCCATTTCTCCCCAAGGTCATTAAACACTCTACTGTTTCTTGGCAAACTTCACCAAACATCCATTGTTCAGGGAGAACTCTCCCTACATAATTTTTCTTTAGAAAAAAAGACTCGTCCATTTCAAGCACTTTTAAAGCCGTTAAATAGGTAATCCTTGACCCCTCTAACCACGTTCCTTTTGTTATAGATATGTTTTTCCTATAACTGCTGCGAAAACATCTCCATTTGTTCTTCCCGTCAAACTTCATTTCATGACCTTCACAGAATTTCACCTTTGGAATTATTCCGAACTTCTGAAAGTATTTGATGGCTTCTTATGAAGACCCCAATTCCTAAAGTGTAATTATATCCATTTGAAATGAAGATAACAAAAAAATAATGAAAACTGAAAATGTTGAATAACACACAAGTAACGGAAGGATAACAAGGGAGATTCCGTCCCGACTATCAAATTCACAAGTACCGTTTATTTTTATTTATTTAAATGGGATAACCTATGCAACATTTTTTTTTTTTTTAATTTGAGTATTTCTCAATTTTTAATTTTTTTTAATAAGATTACTGGTCTACTAATAGAGGCCATAATGGTTGAGCACATTGGGGTGTGGATCCCACACTGCCCAGTTCTATACAAAAATGCCCAGTTCTATACAAATATGTACTGTTATGTGATGCTATAGTATACAGTTTACGAGTTCTATTCCCACCGCTGGATCTGCTAAAACTTATTTCTTGGTAAACATGGGTAGTGAATCTGGAAATTACATGTTAGCAACTTCGAGGAAACCGTCGTGAGTTGGTAAAAATGAACGCCACAGGGCTCACTTGTCGGACTAGTCTTCCCCACCTGTTCCATTACCAGAGCCCTATTGATAATAAGTTCTGTTTAATTTTTGTTTAATAAGTTTTGTTGAATGTTGGTTTTAATTATTAAGAATACAACAATGATGTTTAATAATATTAATATCATTATTTAAAACAGTATAGGACTTCAATGGAAGTCTTGTGCCTACAAATAAAATTTTTAAAAAATCATTATATAAATAGGCAAAGACAAAACAGTTTAGTCTCCTCCTTGATGCCCTTTTAATTTGTATATATATATATAACCGTTCAATAAAATAGTGAATACTATATAGTTGAAAATTTTGCTGCGTCATTATGTCTTGAAAAAATGCATAATAATATGAAACAATTTGATCTTATAACAACACTTCTGCTAGAAGCTTTCTATTACGGTATTTATATCTGATAAATTAACATTTGGTGTTTCAGCAGCTGCGGCGGGGGCGGGGGAGGGGGAGCAACGATGGCGCCACCGCTGAGTCCGCCTTCAGGAGGAGCACGGCGCGGTTCCCTGTCCAAGGGAGACACCGCTCGCAAGAAATGAAAGCACGATCCCCCCACGACATGACCAGGAGCAGACCATCAGCCCCGCTAGGTCGTCAGTACACCGTCAGCAGATTAAGAGGCATGCCTTGTATTTGTTGTCATAGCCCCAACGCGCTCTCTCATCACTATTTTATATATTGTAATTAGTGTCGTTTGTCTCGTCTCCGCACTAGTTTATTATTATTTTTCTTTTTAACTAATCACAACAATCTATAACCAACCCATCACTATGAATATTTATCTTTTAAAAAAAAATAGATATTGATAAGGAACATATCTAAACAGAACTTTAAAAATAAAATGAGTGTATTTTCCTGTAAATAGTTTGTTTCATCTACCAATGCGAATGTTTTCGTGAAGAGTTTAGGTATATGTGAGTAAAAGAGTTTATGAAATAGTCTTCTATGATTATTTTGAATCGGGGAATCCACCATAGATTCCCTTTATTGTTGTGATTGTCACATTGTTTCATAGTTAATGCGTTATTTAAAAGTGAAGGCTGTTTTTCGTTTTTTTTTTATATTTTTTCTGAAATTTTTCAATGTGATATGAAACAATGTGTTTGTTTCTTTTATAAGTACCATAAATTATATCGTGATTTTATATGTTAAAAATTTGACTACATTCATTATAAATCTCCAGGTTTCCAACAACTAATTATGTAGCAAGATGTTAGCACCTCACTGTTAGGTGTTTAGTTTTTATGTAAATATGTACTGTTATGTGATGCTATAGTATAAGATTGTATAGGAATGAATATATATATATAAATATATATACATACATGTAATTCTTTTTTATCTCCTTAGAATTTAGGTCTATATGTATTTTTTTTCCTCTAAATTCTTTATATTGTTAATTTTAATTTAAAATTATCTAGTAAAAAGAATTTTTGTACAAATTAAGTTTATTGACTCATCTGATAACTTTAGTGCGATAAAAGAATTTCATTAGTACATGGCTAGTTTTCGACTTGTTTGGATTAATATTGTTTGATGTTTTTTATGTCAAGAATTTGATAATCATATTCTTTCTTGTATAAATATGTGCCGTAAGTGTATAGTAAATCCTCAGGAATTTTACCGGAAAAAAATGTTGGGGACTATTTGGTTGTTGTTGAGGCGAATTGCGTGGGGGGGGAGGCCACGCAGGCCAGTACATTCTGGATATATTTCCAAAGAAAATCTCGTTCGGTGTCTAATCACATCACCCAAACGAACCAATTGATGATATGTATATATTTTATGTAACATAAATTAAAAAAAAAAATAAATAAAAAAATTGTGTCAAATTTGAATGTATTTGATTTTTTCATACTCTTAGAATAAATTAATAAGTGTGTTTATATATTATATGTATATTATATAGATTTAAAGGATGTAAAAAATGTTTCAATTTATTCGAAAATCACCTTCCCAAGATATTTAAGTGTCATTCCAGTATTGGTCAATCACAAAAATGCTAGGAATGAGCAAGGCACTTAAACGTATTAAAGACAGAGCTGTTTTTATAAGTGGTGCGTTGTTTTTTATTAATTTTTTTTCTTACTTTTAACATGTGAGTTTTATGTTCATAAACATGTAAAGTATGTGTATGTGTGTGTGAATGCAGATTGTCTTTTCTTTTTTTTAAAACAATAAAAAAAAAGACTGATTGCTTGTGAGAGAAATAATTCTAAAGTTATTCCCCTTGAATAGTTTGTATATTGGCCTATAAAGAACTGTTTTTGTTTTTTGTACTTGTTAAAAATATTTTACAAAAGAAACTTAGTTTCGAGTTAGACGTTCTACCAAATCACAATAGAATAGATTTACCTAGGTTGCAAAAAATAGTTTGTAAATTTCTTTAAAAATTAATGGGAAAACATTAAAATTAGTAATTTTTTTATTATTTGTATTCTTAACATATATCTCCTTATGGCCTTTTTGCCCAAGGCGAATTATATTGTCATTAACTTATGCCTCAATCGCTTCGACTTATATCGTCGATATAATGTATCGTCTCATGATAATATATCACTCACCGTAGGTAATGGTATATCAATTGTAATTACATTATATAAGAAAATTGTTAGCTATTTGATCAATAATTTGTTCCTAATTTGTATATAATATTGACTTTATTAAACTGCCTAATTATAATGTCCTTTTTTTCCTCCGAATAAATTGAAACACTTTATTTAAAGAAATAATGAAAAAATGACTTATTAGTCGACCATATTTTATATTGTTACCAGTTTATGTGCTGGTAAGATTCATTTTACACACTAAATAATGACATGTTTACCAATATACCGGTTAGTAATTTTGTAACTGTGCAGGTCATATATTGATAATGAAGCATTTCGGAAAAACTAATTAAACATTTTTTTTTATTTATTTAAAATTTTATTTCAGTCATTTTCGATTTGGAAATTATTGATTTTTGTTGTTTAAATGTGACAGTTTAATTGTTTTCTATGGGCATTATATGTTAATGTGTTTTGAACAGATTATAATTATTTTATATATATATATTTTTTTTTTTTACTAACTTGAAATAATGATTTTTAGATGGCTTTTATATTTAAGGTCCTTTAATACAGTCAGTTTAGTAAGTGGAATGCTTACAAATTCTTAATAACTGAGGAGTAAATGTGTTCAATTTCATTATCATAAGTCACTTTGTACATTTTATATTATGGCTGTATCAATTTAGCCGGAGGTTATTTTATAACTAATACATGAAAATTAATAAATATACTTGTGGTAATGAAAATGGAAAATAGTTTTGTGTTAGCTACACAGATGTGTATTAACAATATTTTTAAGTGTTGTGAATTCTAGTGAACATTCATGGCAAAATGTTGCATTAATGCCATTTAGGATTTATTCGATATATTATCAAGTGTATGAAAGGTCAGATGTCAGACAAAAAAAAATTAATTTTGCTTTTATATCCTTGTGAAATCCATTTGCTGTACTGCTTTAAATAAAATAAAAAAAGCATGTCATGTGCTATTTGTTTGCTGGCATCACAACTTTAGCTTATTCGTCTATATTTATTAATTTTCAATTTTTTTAACAATCATTTGTTTAGGTTATGTAAATATTTACAAACCTATTTTAATTTATACTTTAATTTTCTAATTGATTGTTTTACTATTAAAATAAATCACTACTTGCTTTGTTCGAAAATATGAATATGTTTCATTCAAGTAGTTAATCGTCAACCCTGCCATCTGTAGATTGTGAATTAATTACTTTTGAATGATAATATGGCTGATTTTTCAACAGCCCTGATTTTAAATCTGTTATAATCATTATTAGATTTCATATTCTAAACATGAATATAAATGACAAATATAAAAGAATTTTCATTGACTAAGCTTTTATGTTTTACTCATCCTGAAAACTTCTGTTGATTACCTTATGCTGCTATATTTTGACTAGATATTTCGTATAGGAAAATGATAGCAAAACCTGAAGATCCCATTTTTCGTTTCAATAACTACATTTATATAAACACATTTTATATGTATTGGTAATAATGAACCAAATGTGACAGCAATCACCCTTACCTATAAGAGAAGCAGTGACAAACGTACGTCCAAAAGTCAATTTATAAAAAACAAATAGTTCTACTGTTTTAAAATAGTATAAATGAATGTATCCAATTATTAGAGCAGTATGTATTTATTATCTGAATTAATAATTTAGTGTTTGTAATTTTTCTGAACACTCCTGTAGTACTTAGTTCGGTTTAGATAGATTGATAGATAGAAAAAAAAACTTTATTCTGGGACTAAATCCCTTCAGAATAACAATAATGTACAAAATAATAGAATATTACTGGCCTAAACGTTTGAAACAATAAATAAAATTGATAAAATAAAATAAAAAGTAAAGAAAACCTTAGGTGCACAAGCTATATACAATACAGATAAAACTATGTACAGAGCATTTAGAATTATGAACAAAACAATTAAAACTATGAACAAAATTATATAAGGGTTGAACAACATAAACATACACTTTGAGAAATGAAGAACGAAAAAGAGATACAATGAGTTCATTTCATAAAAAAAAAAAATTTTACTTGAATATATATATAAAAATGAACAGTTAATTATAATTGAATAAAAAAAAAAATGTATGTATTGAAATTCCTACGTCGATAGTAGGAAATGCATGTACTATCTCTTACCAAGTATTATGATTATATGATTGCTACACAATACATATATAATATTAATAGTTAGCTGGTATCTGACTGTTTTTGGAATAGGAGGTTTTTGAATGTGTACAGGGAAGGGGCATGTCGAAATTTGATCGGGAGGGAATTCCAAAAGTTGACAGAGCGGGCTATAAAGGAATTTTGGAATGAGGCAGATCTATGAGAAGGGATGTATAGGTCAGAGGGTCAGTATCTTGTAGGGAGGGAATGGATTGAGGACTTAAATTGGAGAAGGTTGTAGGCATAAGAAGGACGATGATCGGTAATGATTTGATAAAGGAAAGTGCCTAGGAAATATTGTCTTCTTAAGGAGGGGAAGAGCCACCCTAACTCAATGTAGTGGTGGGAGACACGGGAACGTCTCAGGGTCCCAATTACAAATCTTATGAAGCTATTCATAAGTCTTTTGAGTCTATCACGGAGTTCCACCGAGAGGCCATCGTACACCACACAGCTGTAGTCAAAGTGGGGAAAGATGAGAGAGGAAACTAGGATTCTACGGGTATTTTGGGGTAGAAGATGGCGGAAGTGATGGAATAGTTTGAGGGTAGAAATTGCACGGCGGGATATATGAGAGATGTGGTGATTCCAGGAAAGGGTTTGATCTATGAGAAAGCCAAAATTTTTAACAAAGGGATAGAAGGTGATGGGATGGTTGTTTAGATAGAGTGAGGGAAAGTTGGTGTGGGATCTAAGGAGGGGCTTGGAACCAATGAGAATGGCCTGAGTTTTGACAGCATTTAGCCTTAATCCATTTAAGTTGGCCCAGGCACTAATTCGATCTAAATCTTCTTGAATTTTGGCAAATGCCACCAATAACTCAGCGGGAGAAGATTTGAGAATCGTCGGCATAAAGGTGGTGGGAACAATGGATAATTGAATCATTTAGGTCATTAATATAAGAGCTGAAAAGAAGAGGAGACATGCTTGAACCCTGTTCAACTCCAGAGGATAAAGGAAGGTAGGCAGATAGAGGTTGATTAGGTATGGAAACTGCTTGGGTTCGTTGTGAGAGGAAAGACTGGAACCAAGAGATCAAACTATTGGAGAAGGATAATGATTTTAATTTGTTGAAAAGGATGCAATGGATAACGGAATCGAAAGCTTTGGAGAAATCAAGAAGTATAAGTATGGTTAGTTTTTTGTCATCTATTGCAGTCTGAATATCACTGGTAATTTTAATCAGAGCAGATTGTGTAGAGTAGCCAGGACGGAAGCCAGATTGGAGATGATCGAGTTGGCTGGATTGTTCAAGGAAATTGAAAACTTGGGGTTACACTAACCTTTCTAGGGGTTTAGAAAGATTGGAAAGGATTGATATTGAGCGGAAATCTTCGGGAGAGGATGGATTAGGCTTTTTGTTTAAAGGAAGGACAATGGCTTTTTTCCAAGAGGTCGGTATTATTGAATTCTGCAGGGAGAAATTGTAGATGAAAATGAGTGCTGGGAGGATTTCAGGGAGACATAATTTTATTAGTTTGATAGGAATGCCATCTGGGCCTACGGAATTGGAACGGGATTTCATTATAACGGTAATAAGGTCTGTGGGAGAAATGTCGGAAAAATAAAAATTATTATCGTTAAAAGGTACCTCTGGAGAAAAGCCGGAAGTGGAGGGTAAAGAAGAGGTTGAAACCGATATAAAGTGGGAGTTTAGGTCATCAGGTGATATTGGGAAAACTGAGGAAGGGGATCTAGAAGGTTCACAGAGGGAAAGCTTACGAAGTAGAAGCCATTTTGATTTGATATCAGGAGCTGAGGAAAGGGCTTCGTGAAAGTAGTTCGCTTTCGCTTGTCGGATCCTTGTCTGTGTCGTGTTACGAAGCACTCTGAATATTTGATAATCATCTGCAAGCCTAGTCCGTCTGAAGCGTCTGCGTGCAGCGTCGCGTCTCTTCTGCAGATCCTTAATTTCCTGACACATCCAAGGAGCAGGACGATGACGGAAAGTGGAGGTTTTCAGAGGAGCGTGGGTATTGCGTATATTGATAATATTAGTGGTGAGAATATCAACCATGGTGTCGACAGAGGAGCAATGATATATTCCATTCAAATCCAATGTTACTAGATCAGGTAATATTTTTTCTCGAGTAAGGGTATCCAGTTGGCGGAAAGTGATAGTTCGAGGATGGATTGGAGAAGTGCGGATATTATACGTTATTTGTATCAGATCGTGAGATGAAAGAAAGGATACTGGCAATTGAGAGGCGGAGAGGAGGTTTTGTGCTGAGTCGATGATGTAGAAGTCTAGCCATGTGTCAGATCTGCTGGTGTGGTGGGTGGAGGAAAAAGGAACGATGAATAAGTGAAGTGAGAAAAACAGATTTTCTAAATAGGATTTGTCATTGGAGTTTGAGAGGAAATTGGTATTCAGGTCACCGGAGATAATTATTCTGGGATAGAGGGGAACGAAGTTGAATAGGGTTGATTCGAAGGACGGGTCAAATGGCACGAGAGGAGGGCGATATACCACGGCGTAAAGGATAGAAGTATTACTGAGAATTTCTACTAAGAGGTATTCTACATGAGGATGATCGGAAGGTGGGGGGCAATCGAGGATTCGGGTCTTTAGGCTATTGTGGACAAACATGGCTACTCCACCGCCAGTCCGGTTTACCCGGTCATGACGGAGCAGGATGTAATTAGGCAAGGATACTGAAGATGATGGAATATAAGGTTTGAGCCAGGATTCGGATATTGCTATGATATGATAAAAGTTTTGGGTAAAGTATTGTAGGAATTCGTCATAATGGGCAGAAAGGGATTGAGAGTTAACTTGACATGTGATTAGGGAACTATACATACAGTGGATTTGGAGAGAAACAGTCAGCGTTTGGTAGCGAGAAGACAAAACGAATAGAAAGTACAGAAAAGCGATTATAGTACATGAAACTAAGTGAAGAAAAAGTAATATTAACATTAAAAATAAATAAAGAGAATGTACTTAAAAATAAATAGATTGGTGAGTGACGGTGTAGAGATAGCACTAAGAGAAGAAGTAAGACTATTTTAATGAGGCTAAGGGGTTGACGGCTTCTAGGTAGTCAGTCAAATACATCTAGATCCGAGGCCTGTTCTATCAGGATGACTCTATGTCCGTCCTTTTTTCGACACCGCACCTTTCCGGAAGCAAACCTCGTATATTTGATTTTTCCCGCCGCTCTCTTCTGCCGGGCTAGCCAATAGAGGTGTCTGTTTGTGCGAGTCATCTCTTCACCTAGATAAATTCTGTGGCAGTCATTTTCCTGCCAACCGATATCTCGCGTGGAGAAATCCCTCTTCACTTTCCTTTTAGTAATTAAATCATCTCTAATTGATTGCCTGACAAAGCGTGCGATAACAGGCGGTGGTCGCGAGTCATCTTTTCGGCTTCTGCGGCGATGTACGTTGTCCAGGTCCTCCACATTAAGCCTGATCCCTAAGCTTGCTCCTATACTGGTCACCAACGCAGCGGGCGTTTCGCCCGGTCGCTCTGGTATACCGCAGATCTCCAGTGATCTACTTAATAGTCCCTGTTGTGCGTTATTCAAGCGAACCTCTAATTCGCCCACTTGGGATTTGAGTGCTTTATTTTATAATATTATCTCCTCAAACTTTTTAGCTTCACCTTCCAGATGTTTTTCAATCTTCGTCAGTCTTTCATTTAGTTCAAAACTGAGCTCTCCGTATTTATCTAGTGCTGTTTTCATGTTTTTTATAGCGTCTAAACGATTTACTGCCGCAAGTATTTCTGAGGGGGACGGCTCGGTATTTTGTTTTTTCACCTGTTCGCAGTTAGAGCAAACCCATGTTTTTTTAATTATTTTTAGATTGCATTTTAGGTTTACTAGATTGCACTGAAATTCATTCTCAGTGGTAAATATATTATTAAAACCTACAATTATTATTAATTTAATTTCTACTCTAACCTTCCTATTAGGCAATACCAGCACTAGCGGATCCAGGATTTAATTTTGGGAGGGGCTTCAGCCCGAAATCTTTTTTTTTTTTTCATAAAAATAACGTTAATTACTTTGGAAAAACAGAAAGAAAATAACTACCTATATGAAATGGTGTTTAAGTTATTCCTTAAGTACTTTTAAATGTAATTACATGAACAATAATACTTTAAGAGATATTTAAAAAAAAAAATTTCCCATAAAACATGTTTATATTTTTCCCTTTTGGGGGGAGCTTCAGCCCGAAAGCCCCCCCCCCCCGTAGATCCGCCCGTGAATACCAGTGTCACTAGCAGCTGTTAAGTCTTGGGCGTAACTGCTTAACAATACACTGTAGCTTAACATGCATATTTTATCGTTAACTGTGCACACAACATTCTTTGGTCTTTCTGTTTGTAAACCATGTTCTCTCAAATGCCTCTGTGGTACATTTCTTTATCTCCTCTCTAAGAAGTTATATACCACCCATATTTCTAATAAATGTCTCTAAGCGGAAATAGTTTTCCTTTAGTCTTATCCTTGCCCAAAAATAAAAAGTTTGCAGGTAATATGTTATATTAATTGTTTCGCTTACCTTTTGTTATTTATGTCTTTTTGTATCCCTTCATAAGAATCTAAGAAAACTAATATCACTTAGGTATTGTATGTCAGAAAAAAGGCTCAATATTGTTTTGTTCTGTTATAATCCAAATAATAGAATGAGAGTTGTGTGATTCTAAATGAAGGAGTAATATTAGAAGTAGGCAATTTATCAGAGAAAAAGAAAGCTTTAACATTTTATTTGTGGTTACTTATAATAAGAAAGAACCTGTGCCATTACAACCCATAAAAGGTCTTAGGTTCAGTACTGTTTAGGGAAAGTTCTGTTCCTTGGTCAATGGTTGTGCAAGGGAGTGATTTAATGGACGCTCAACCATTATTAAGGGTACCCATTTTATAGAGGATAGGTGTGCCCCAGGAGGGTCTCCCAACCCCAGGATTGCTCCACAGCTAACGAAACAGTTAAAAGAGGAATTGGCTATCTGCTTCCAAACCAAAGTCCTACCGAAAAATTTTTATCACCGATTTCCTTTCTATATTTCTCTTTTAGGTATCGAAAGCATTTTTTATATATTTCCTCCTTCCCAATTTGTATTTCGAGGTTTTGCTGCTCATCATTCATTCATATCTAATTGTAGAGTTAACTATATGAGCCTCCTTTCCTTTTGCACTAAAGGCCAGGATGTACAAATTCTACCCGGAAGTACCTGGGAATCGGTAGCATGGCAGGAAACTGCACAAGAATTGTTTGTTACTTGAGACTCCGAAGGCTCAGTATTTGAAGCCTTATGTAACGTTATAGGATGACTCTAGTGAATCAAACTAGGCAACAGCCTTTACTTTGGCATTTAGGCAAGTGATGAAGTCCCTTACTTGACAAGCATAAATAAGACTTCTTTAGTAGGTCATAACGACCATTGGTATCAAGAAATTTCGGACAGTTTATAATTTTATGGCTTGATTTACTGACTGGGCATTCTAACTTAAATTTCTGATTATCCGATCTGTTGCTGTTTAAAAATGTTTTTCGCTGAACTTTAGGCTGTGAAATTTTGGATGTAGAATGTTCTGAACACATTTCTGCGACTCTAAGTTGTGACCAAACAAATTTCGCAAAATTCTTCAAAGATAGGAACTGCTTCTTCGCCATCACTATTCTCAAACATTACTCTAGTATTAGTTGTAAAAATGTGTTTCACCGTTCATATAAAGTGCCACTTCCGGTTAGTCGATTTCAACGAAATAGTTTCTGTCATATCTAAGCCGTGTACCTATCTTAGATACATAATATCAGTTTCTCATAACACTTCGTTTTTGAGCTAGACTGTTCACACACAGATATACAGACCATTTTTTGGGACTTGTACATTTCGACCCAGGAGATCTCAAAACGTGTATTATCGTTGAAATCCGAGATTCGAAAATTTTCACGATCGCAATACTTCCCCTTACTAAATATTACATATATAGGTAAGTGCAAGTAAAAAAAAAACAACGAATTAATAGGTGAAATACGAATATTAGCCCAGAAATAAACGATTTTTACAAAAACTTTCATAACCTACCAGGCAATTTTCCTCTTTTGCGTACGGCATTGGTAATACATACATTGGTAATATGGAAAAAAAATCTATGTAATCGTGTGGTGGACCAAAATGTTTAGGAAACTTTCTAATTTAATCGATGTAAAGGCAAATAACTCTAATGTGTTCAACATTCGACTTATTTTGGTGGTGGACTGTATTTTGATTGAAAGCGGTAGGGTATATGATTTTTGTAAATCAAAACTCATCCTTTTATACAGGCATAGATATCTTACTTAACCTAGAGGGACCTACAGTCTAGTCTGGGTGGTGTCTATTTGAAGTTCTGCCTTGGAATGGGCTGAGAGTGTCTCATCGCTCGGCCGGTTCAAATCTCTTACCTTTTAGATCTTATCAGATCTGTTTTCACTACTCACTGCAACGTTACGCTCGGGTATAATAGCATTCACACAAAACAGTTACATTTCTGAAGTCTACGCCGTATCCTCTTAGACAGCATAAAACCAGTGCTTCTATGTCCACTTTTCTTTGCTCCACTATATATTCTTTTTTATTTATTCTTTCTTGAACACCCATCGGATCTTCTGCAGGACTACAACTTCAATATTAAATTCAATTGCCTGCTCAGCTACTTCAGACACCTTGCCCGGCTGTAGCCTCGTCCTGATGTTCCAAGTTGCAAAATCTAGGTTCCAGTTGCAAAATGATGGTCCAAGTTCCTTTTCCGTTTACTATTGTTCCCATTCTTTGTCTTATTATTGAGTTTGGGTTGGGAACAGTATTTTCTTTAAACATGGCAGGGTTGTTGACTTTGTTGACTCTCATATCGAAGTTATTCTTTCCTAGTCTTTGGGATTCCCTCTCAAACCGAACAAGGCAGTTCAAAGCAGTGCATGTTTGATGGCGGCACTTACTCGCTATGTCGCAGCGACGGTCCGGGGCTGCATATTTGAGAAAATCTGTTATTCGCAGCCACCTATGAATAATTGATTATCATAAATCAATTGTTTTTTTGTTTTGTTTTTAATGAGAAGCAAAACAAAATTCTAATATCAAGTTTATAACAAGTTTAGAATTATTAACCGAGAACAGCATTGGTTAATACTCAATACTTGAATGGGGAGGGGAATAAACTTGTATAACTTACTAGATTCAATCTTTAATATGGGAGAAAAAAAAAGGAATATTTATAAAATGAATTCATACAAATGTAAAAAAACAAATGTCTTGCATTAAAAAAATAGTTAAGGATAAATTAACCACAAAGATTTGTCCTATATATTTGATGATGATCGATATAGTAGCCCTCTGTTCTGCTACATCAGCTGATTGTTAGGACCATTTTCATTTTCTGTGATAATCTGTTAAACAATTAAAATGGGTTTCGGTGATTATCCTGCGGAATATAATCCTAAAGTTCATGGTCCTTACGATCCCGCAAGATATTATGGAAAGCGTAAGTAGATATTATTCGTTTATTATTTAAATTAATATTAGTATTTTCTTATTATCGGCTTGTTCAAGGATACCTTTTTCATTTTAAAATATTTTTTTTGTGGATAGACATTTGTAGATACTCATTTTATTCCATAAAAATAAATTTAATTATGCCTGTGTTTAATGAGTCTTTACTTTTCTGTATATTCCAGTTTAGATAATAGAACTGAAATATGTTTGGTTACTCTTTAATAAATATATTCTAGTAGCTTTTTAGTTCCAAAATATTCCTTATGTTTACTCCGAGATAAATAATACAAAGTACTTTAAGAGAGTGGAATTAATTCATTTTCCTATCAATGGTGATGTGGTAGTTGCAGATATGATTTTAAAAACCCATTTATTTGACTTATTTTAATTTTCAAACCAAAATTTGTATCAATTGATCTCCAGCCCTCCAGTTTTGAAAATACTTAAGTTTTTATTATTTTTATTAGAGGTCTTATGTATTTGGTGATTTTTAATTTAATTCACTGAGCAAATTAATTTCATCTTGTGTTAATGAGTAAAATTCTAAGTTAAAACAGATTATATTTATTTTCCCACTCATAATGTTTGTGGGTATAATTAAGTGTTGGTTTTAATTTTTTTATTCTTTGAATCTCATTTTTTCCAAAATTATTGAATCTCTCCGTGATAAAGCAAAGATCAGTCCTATCCTCATTCCAGGAAATCACTTTATCACCTTAACTAAGTATGCGATTTTATAAAGTTAATTGGTTTTGTTTTTAATTAATATTTGTGTTAAATTTAGCAGGGATTTTGACCTAATTTCAAATCTAATGATATATTTTTAATATGTTGTTTTATTGTATGTATCAATAACGCTTCATATTAAATTAAATTATTATTGGCTACATTCTCACCTAAGCTTATACTTATAGTTACGGGAGATAAGTTGTTAAGTGTAGCAATTGTCCTTATGTTTATTGTTATCTACAATAATCTGTTATGAACATGTGTATGTAAGTTATGTGTTGTGTGTTTGTCTCTCAAGCCTTCTGCACTCTGTAAATAAATCGGTAACTCTATTACTCTATTACTTAAAAATATTTAGAGTTGTGCAGAAGGCTTAGATAACTCATGAAGACCATTTTTTGACTTACTAAATTATTCGTTGTGACCAATAATGCAATGCCATAATTCTGGTTCAAATTCTATATCATGTCTACGATTAATGTTTGTTTATTTCATTATAGCTGATACACCTTTTGGGCAAGTTAAGCTGGGAGAAATATCCTCTTGGCTGATGAGGCGTAATAAAAATCCTTCAGCTTTTATGGGAGTTTGCAGTCGAGGTAAAGTTAAATGTTCAATAGTGCTGTATAAGTGTGTTTTATTCAGTTAATATAAATAAATATAAATTGTAAAAGGTACAGAGCACCCGTGAGTCATGACTATATCATAACAAATATCTAATCAACTATTCACAAGCAACTAATACATTTAAAAAAAATCTGCCTAATAAGGCCAGTATAGCGTCCTTTTATTTTTTCCTCTAAAAACATTATTGAATTAATTTCATAAAAATTCCTATTGAGAATGTTTTGATCCTATCATGTGCACCATATTCAGCACTAAAAATAACATCAGAGATACATATTATTTGTTTAATGATTTATTGTTGATATCCTAGTATTTTACACTATTCAACTTTGGCATATACACAAAATGGCACAAACCAGAGGCCTGCAAATAAATTTGGCTTTGAGATAAAAAATAAAAATGTTAGGAGAGTTTTTTAAAATGTATTCCTTATAAATTCATAAAAAATAAGGTATTGATATAGTTTTGAAGAGTGATATTTTGTAATAATGTTGATTTAGGCAAAAATCCTGAAGCTATGAATATTTTAGTAAGCGGCTTGAAAAAAAATCCGCCCATAAAATTAAGTCTTAAAATTTATAATTTATATCTAATATATATTATATAAAGATATAATTTATTATATAAAGATATAATTTATTATATTATATCTTTACATCACAGACTTATTTACCTTCCTCATATTTTTCTTTCTTAAATTATTAATTTAATATGGACAATATGATAAAATTAAGGTAATTATTTACACATACATAATTGTATTTTACACAACCAGAATAAATAAAACATTATTATTATTATTATATATTTATATTTATAAATCATTTAATCTAGCACGAAATGTGCAATTAAATGCAACAAAAATAAAAATTGTGCAATTTAAGCCAAAAATGGCAAAACGTCCAATATAAAATTTAAATATGTTATTCTTCAGATCCTGAAACGGATAGAGATTCGGGTCTGGGGTTTTTACGCGCTAGCGAATAAAATGTGCAATAACATGGAAATCTGGTCTCAAATAATAATTTGGAAATCCACGCTGAGCAAAGTCAGAAAACAATAATATAAAAAATTTGTTTTATTTTTTCCGGAGCTTCTAGGGCACATTGGCAACAACCACCAGACCACTGACATGGGTCTAATATTTTTTAACCTAGTACCACCAAAAAAATTGTCATTGAAATGAGTGACCTAACGTACGTAACCTCCCCTTGTCAGTAAAACCAGTAAGGGAAATGATTGAGGTATTGAGTTAAGAAATATTAGTATATTCGACTTGCTTATGAGACTAGGATTTCTATTTGTATTGATGGGGCACAAACTTACTCAGCAACACTTCCCTTCTTATGAAAATGTACAAAAATAACTTGACTGGTTCGCCTAAAAAGAATAACCTTTTCTGGCATGGCATTCATAAATTGCTAGAGATATAGGAAAAATGTATATGTGTATGTAGCAATGGAGATTATTTGAAATCAAATATTTTTTTTTTACATTTTTATGTAAAAAACATGTATTTTCTGTACACTGATTTCAGTTTCATATTTACTCACCTAATATATCTTTCGTGTACCTCTTGTTATTTTCAGCAATAATGATGACCTACATGATTGGGTTGAAACATAGGCTGGGTGGCGACCGACCTGGAAAAATGGAAAAGCCAGGGAATTTTTTTAGTACATAAATATATTTTTTAAATTGGAAATAAATATACAGTTTATATCGTTTATAACGACCTTGGAGGGATAAACTTCGTTGTTATAAACACAGTCACTATATCCATCTACCTTTGACTGTCAATGGCGGCACTGGTTGTATTGAAATCGAACAAGAGTACAGAATTAAATTTAAGCAGTACTTTTTTGTAAAGAAAAACATACCAATACTATTTACTATTTGTAATATATACTTCTATGACGGAGATGTTTATTATTTTTTTAAGTAATTCTGTCTATAGATTAACGTTTTATGTCTATTAGATTTTTCGACCTTAAAATGCACCATTCGATCTGTGGTGCTCCTCAAAAGAGCATTTATTAACCAGAAACGTAACAGTTGGTGTTGTATTGATAATTATTATGCTGTTTATAGTAGTAAAGAAACTAAATTACTACATTAATATTGGAATCCTCCTTAGCTCACTTTATTTTATAATAGAGAAAATCAGAGCTTTATATTAATAGCAACTTTTACCTTATCTCAGTTTATGAAAATAAAATAAATAACTAAAAGTCTAGTTTTATAATAAAATAAAAAATCCTAATCAAGCTTAAAAAATCCTTCCTCTAAAACAATATATTTGTTGTATAAAAAAATGATAAATTTTTTTTATAATCATTTTTTAGTCAATTTTCTTTCATGTATAATAAAAAAAATTATTTATAAATCGTACATTTTTAATATTTGTGTCACCAGACATATTGGTCAGGGAAAACTCTGAGAGATCGTCTTAGTCCCTGGCATGGAATATTTGTAATAGGGCTTTCCTTTAAATATTATCGAAAATAACTAATTTCTAATTATTTATTTATTCCTAGTTATTATGTTTTAGTTGATTAACTGCTATTAGTAATTAAATACAAATAATTAATGTATCACTTTATTTTTTTTAATGCAGCTTGGTGGAGATGGCAGCATAAGTACGCCCAGCCAAAGAGGGCTGGTGTAGCCGCATACATGCAACTCAGTCTTGCTTCTATCGCATTTTTCTATGTCCTCAACTACAAGAGGATGAGTAAGATTAAATATAATACTTTTCTTTATTATTATTGTTGTTATTTTAATAGTATTCATGTGATGCCGTGTTTTATTTATTTCAGAGGCTCACCGCAGATACGAACTACATTAAATTGGTTGATCCAGTTGTAGTAGAATGGCTTACTGAAAGGTCCTCGTTGATGGTCCTCAGAATTTTGAAATGGAGACAAATTGATATTGTTTCAACTTATTTAATAATAAACAACAAATAATTTTCATTTTGTCACTTCATATATATATATACAATTGTTTAGTAAAATTCTAAGAATTAAGCTTTAGTTGTCTGTATATCTTCCTAAAATTAATTTCTCCTTAATATAATTGTTGATTATCAATAAATCTAATGTACAATGTACTGAAGATACACATGATCTTTCCTTATAATTTCTCTAAATTATATCTTCTTTATACTTGATTCTCTTCTATATACTTGATTCTTTCTTTATATTTTTTTTCCATAACACTATAAATATAACAAAAATGTGACACAATTACCTGAATAAAATCTTAATTAGAAAACCTGTTTACGATTAAAATCACTGTAATCATAATCTATCTATCTAATATTACCATAAATTCTTGTTTACAAGTTTAAATAATTTTGTATTAAAAAAACTTTATTTTTTATTTTCAAAATCAATTGTCCTTTATGACTACATATAGACAAAACTTTATAATATCGTCGGTTTATTTAAAAAAATTATTAAGTGACATTTCATAACCTTAAAAGATTAAGAACTTTGATTAATTTTGTCATGAAATCAGAAAATTTTGTACTTCGAGTAACTTATATGATAAATAAAAGGATTTATGTGATATAAAGTAAGAATTAAAATTGGATATACTAAGATAAGGCATGAGACATCAGCAATATATTTAAAATAAAATAAAAAGGGTTTATGCATTTTTCATGATCTTTATAATTTTTTTGTTTCGATAAATAAGTTCAAAGTTCACAAAAACATATTTGAAAGTTAACCTGTATCAAACATGCACTTAGTGACTTTTTGCAATAAACCTGATATATTAAACAATTTTATTTTAAATCGTATGAAGCATATAACAATAAGTTGAAGAAGGGTATATTTAAAAATATGTAAATAAATAAGAATCTGGTCCCTAATGATGATGTTAAATTTGTTATAATTTTTATTTTTTTTTTTTAAATACATGATTATTTAATATTATTAGGTAAGAAATTACAATATTTAGTTAAATAACAGATACTTCATCTTGTAAGCTTGAAACATTTTTACAGGATTATATAAGAAAAAATAATTCTGATTAAAAACTTTTTCCTTGATAATTTACAATTGATATAAACATTTCTAGTAGTATTTCTTTTTATTTATAAATCATTATACAAGTATAGTCATACAAGGTATTAACTTTTATTATTGCTATGGTAACATGAAGTAACAATAATGAACATTAAACTCTGGAAAATTATTTATTAAGAATAAAGTTAGAAATTGTTTTTATCTAGTTCGTTAAATTGTTCTGCTTTCCTCAGAATAGTTCTTCAAAGAATACTTATAGAATGAGTCTGCAATAAACTGGAAAGGGTCTTCTAAACCTTGGTTGTTCTTCTGTAAAGAAGAATACAAGTTGTTAAAAGTATTAATTAAAAATAAAAATTTAATCTATCAGCTCTATGATTGAAGTAATAATACCAATTTACCAACAAAAGGCTATAACCCTAGAAACCATCGGAAAACGATTCTCAGAGACAGAATGGCTCCATGTATATACTGATGGTTCTGCACTGGAAGCACGCAAACATGCCGGAGCTGGAGTTTATTCACAGGAGTTTCAACTTGCTGCCCCGGTCGAAAAGGTAGCCACAAACTTTGAAGGGGAAGTGAAAGCTATTCTCTTATGCTTTTAGAGTTTAATTGAACGGAAAGACAAGAAAGTTGCTTTCTTTGTTGACTCACAGGCAGCCATTTTGTCTCTCCAAAATGGATATAATATAAATCCAAATGTCCCTAAAATCCATCTATATTTGAACCGATTACAGAAAAAGTGGAACAGAAGTCGCTTTCCAGTGGATACGAGGCCATTGCGGGCTACACGGAAATGATGGAGCTGACAAACTGGCCAGAATAGGTTCTGGAATGATCCAACCAGATATTTCTCTGGGCATGGATTCAACGAAAAGAATTATAAAACAGACCCTCCAAAGTTCACTGAAGGAAAAATATGCGCAAGCAATTGAAGTGAAACGATGGAGTGGATTGCTGGAAGAAAGTGTGGCAGGATCCCGAGAGGGCAAACCGTGGCATGCTTTAGAAATCTCACAGGGCATGATTTCCTTCAGAAGCACCTCCACCGCATCGGTGTAAAAGATAGCCCGACATGCCCTCTATGTTCCTTAGACATGATGACAGGAGAACATCTGGATACAGGCCCTGCATTACAGTACATAAGATGTTCCTTTAATGAAATGGACAGCCCTTATGCTAGGAGAGCAAAATTATATTGGACTGCAAGAGCACGCATGGCTGAAGAAGCAGGCATTACTTAGGCGTAGTGAAAAAAAAAAAATGTATTTAGAAGTAAATGAGTCAAATTAATCTTTTTTTTAAATTCTACAGGATGTTTCAGAGTTAAGTGGCCAAACTGCAAAAATGAACTAAGGACCTCAAAACAATAAAAAAAAACTTCTCTGAAGATATGTCCGCAAACGCTTTGTTTAGGAGATATTCACATCTAAAGATTTACGTTATATGAAATAAATAAAACCTATTTATTTGTTCTAACTACTTTATTAATTAAATGTAAACATTAACATGCATATTAAATTTTATAAACACATTTCTTGCCACCTCGACTCAATGCGGGCACATTCCTGAAATTTCTTAATAATGATTACTATGATTTAGTTGAACATATTTCACTACAACTGAGAAGGGACATGTGGCTTCAATTAGATGGTTGTTCTCCACATTACAAAAGAGGTCCATGACAAAGGCTAAATGTTAATTATCTGAATCAATGGATTGGCCGTGCAGAATCAGTGGCTTGGCCTGCACGCTCTCCAGACCTGACACCATTGGATTTTTTTGTTTGGGATGACAATAAACAAAAAGTCTATGCAAGCCCTCTCAATGGCCTTAATTCCTTATGAAGAAGGATAATTGAATCTTGTGAAGCAATAACACATATCCAGTGCCGTTCTGCCACTGCTTCTGTTGAAGAAAGATGCTGAGCCTATCTTAAATCTCAAGGAAATCACTTTGAACAATATTTAATGTTTATGTAATAAGTAATAAAGTAGTTGGAACTAATAAATAAGTTTTATTTACTTAATATAATGTAAATAATTCATAACAACGAAAATATTTAGGCGTGAATATCTCCTAAACAAAGCGTTTGCGGACATACCCTCAGAGGAAATTTTTTTCTTGTTTTGAGGTCTTTGATACATATTTTAAGTTTGGCCTCTTAACCCTGAAACAACCTGTATTGTAAACATAGGTGGATCTATGGAGGGAGAGGCTTACAGGCTGAAGCCCCCTCTTCCCCAAAAATGGTAAAACATAAATATGTTTTAAGGAAAAAAAATTAACTCTTGAAGTATTATTATTCATGTAATTACATTTTACAGGACTTCAAGAAACACATAAAACACCATTTCATATTGGTAGTTAATTCTTTCTTTTTTCTCCAAAGTAATTATCTTTCTATATACACGAGAAAAAAAAGCTCGAAAATTAAATCCTGGATCTGCTAGTGATAAAAAGATTCATAGGATGTTATGTTCCATCAAGAGCTTGATTCTTCATATTAGTTCACCAAAATATTTAAACTTGAAATAAAAAATATATGACACAAAACTAACACTAATACAAATTAAACTAATAAAACATAGAATAATCTTTTTTTGGAAAAGTAATGTGAGTTTTGAAGAAAAAATAAACTATCAAAAGTTTAACAGCAAGAACTCACAACCAACTTATTCAGATGCAACTGCTGCTGAATAGTATTCATTTTACAATTCTGCAAGATTTCTTACTCTATATAATATAGGTTCTTAATCTACAGACCCAATTTGAGGGTGCCTGGAAGCCCCATCCAATTCATTAGATCCCGTGATACTTTTAAGATATACATATGTTGATTTCCATTTAGAGTGAGAAGACTTATTTTATTTAAGCTAATTTGAGTGCCAGAAATCCAATGTGTGGTCCTCTCTTCTAATCCGCAAATGGAACCGCCTTAAATTTTATTCAGATACCCTAGAGAACAATATCCTCCAACATTTCCAAATGCAATTTAACCCAACATTGCAGTAGACATTAATGAGATAAAGCATGTTTGGGTATGGTTTAAGTTCCATGTGCGAACCCAGAATTAAATAACTAGTACATTTAAGAAGTTGGAAGTAAGAGTTAAAGAACAATGGGACATTACATGACAGGAATTGGTTAATAAACTATTTGAAGCCATAGAAAGGCAATTGATTGTCAGCAGATACTGAGAGCAGCATGAAATACTAAGTCAATATTAATATAGATCATTGCGTTTTTTGTCTCTTAATTTTTATTTTATTTTAAATTACCTAAATGTAACATAATGTTTTCCATGAATCAATGTATTTTTTACTAATTGTTATTTTTTGAGTTTTAAAGTAAATAAAAGCATTATAAATTGCTTAAACATACAAACTTTAAGGTGATGTGTTAATTCAAGTCTGTATGTTTTGATCGTAGGAATGAAGGATCCTCATGGTATCGTTATTTACCATTATATACTATGATTAAATTAAATTGTCTTTTAATAACAGAATCCTGAAAAGTACTGCAGTACTAATGAGAAATAAACAATATTTGTCTTAAGATACTACCAGTTAAATAAAAATAAAACATACAACAGATCCGAAAAAATATTTCATGTTGTATCGATCAGCAACGTGAACAGGTTCTTCTCCTAAGCAGACCAATCTATTCTCCAAATCACTTTTGTTGCCAAGCAGAACTGAAGCTATCGGAATGCCACCATTCCCTCGCCATTTAGCTTTCTTTGTTAGGCTGATCCAATTTGCTACCGAATCCAAAGAATTCTTGTTGGTAAGATCAAATACAACCATCAGTAAATCAGGTCCATTCCACTAAAACAACATATACTTGTTTATTTTTCATAATGTCATAATTTAAAAATGATAAGTTATGCTTGTAAGCAGATTTAAAAAAGTTAAACTTACAAATTTATTCAATAGATCAGAATAAAGATCTATTCCTGGGCAATCGTAAATGATCAACTCTACCGCATCGTTTGTGTTTGGAATATGCACTAATTTGATGCTAACTTCTGGAGCAAATGTCTAAAAGTGTCATTAAAAATGAATTTTTCTAGAAGTTCAAAAGCCTTTAGAAAATTGATAAGATAAGTTGATGTTTTTTTCTGTTTTAATTGAAATACAATGATATACATATATTTATTTACCTAGAGATCAATTTCTCCTTAAAATAAATTACATGAATGATACAGTGTACCGACATAGTTTGTCGATAATCAATTAACTTATATATTTTTCTTGCTAATAAATATTACATTTACTGAAGGCGCAGAAACTTATTCTTTGAGAGATGAAAAACAAAGAAATAGATATGATTCAAATATAGAAAGTGAGGAAGCATTAAAGACTAGGGGTGGAATAGAGGTTCATAAGTACCAGAGTTTATGAAGTTTTCAAATATTATCAGTTTCATGGGAAGGGCTACAGAGCAGAAGTATATATTACGGTTGTGAATTAATGATTTAAATTTAAGGATTTCAAAGATATAAGTATGGTGATGGCAATGAAAAAAGAAGTATAAAAATGAAGCAAGAGAGTATCTGTGATAATAAAATAAAAGTCTAGATTTAATAGTGTATGTTATTTATTTTAATCTTAAAATTCTTAATTTTAAATACATAAAATAAACAAATTTTTCTATTTACCATTGTGTAGTTCTTAGGGTATTCTCGCCCATCCGATACAAACATATTTAACAAGGCTGTTTTCCCAACCCCTTGGTCTCCTAAAAAAACATTATTCCATCTTGAATTTGAAGAAATAATTAATAATGATATGAGGAAGAAATAAGCCAAAGTGACCTACTCATAACTTAGTACATTCCAGACTGCTTATTCCTGTAGATATTTGATTTTATTTATTGTTTATTAGTTATTCTGAGCAATCTTGTAAACAATCTGGCAACAAGAGTTGCCTATAGGTGTGTGAAATTGAAGGGGTTTGTCAATTTTATTAACAACTTTCCTTACTACTTAGAGGATGTATTATGAGGACAAAAACTTAAAGCAATACATCATAATTTTATTTTTTGTTTTGTTTTGATATATGCAGAAATGCCTGAGTTGGAATAGGTAGGGTAAGCTGATACTGACTCTCTCTAGGCAGCAATATTTGTTGGGCTATAATTAATAATACCAGTTGAATCACAGTGATCTAGTTCGTGTCAATTGTGTTTATCGTAAAGAGGCATAAACTGCATCAATTTCACAATTTTGCACACTAGCTCTTTGGTGATAACACAATAAATTGTCAAAAATGAGCTTCGGCCATTTTCGAAAATTTATATTAAAAAAGGACAAGGTTTTGAAGATTGAAATTTCAACAGCACATTCACTGATAGAGCTATAGAAAAAAAAAAGAGATCAAATGTGAGTCTTTTTTCATTATCAAACTTTTAAAGGGCTAAAAGTCTCATTTCATGTCAATTTTCATGATTAATTAATATCATGTTCTTTTCTTTTTAAGTGTCATATTAAAGAAAAAAAAATATATATATATATAGAAAACATACTCATCATTATTCCATTTTTTACTTTAGTTTGATATCTAGAGAATTAAAAGAGTGACAGGCATTTTCCTAAAACATGTTTTCAGTCAAAAAGCAAATTCAAACGCCACTGTGAAAAAACTGAGCCTTAAAAGTTTTTTAACTATAATTTTAGTTTTACTATGATTAGAAAAACAAGGTGAGTTGTTTATAAATATAACATTTACTGTTTATAATCAGATTTTCATCATTTATTTTTCACTAATCAATAATACTAAAATTTCTAATTTTATGGGATCAATTGATCAGCATTCAGAAGAAGAGAACCAATCTAAAAAAATTAGTTGAAAGGTGATTTTGAAGGGGATTAATGCTCAACATAAAAGAAATTCTTTAAGTTCATATATGTTTAATAGAAAATCAAAGCTGAAAAAAATTTGAAAATAATTTTTTTTTATTTGAAAAAACAAAGCACTATTAAGTAAATTTTTGATCAATCTATTGATATAATAGCAATATTTTGGATTGGATGAAATTAGGCCAGAGACAAAAATAATTAACTATTTGAAAGCTTCTGGTTTTCTAAGGCCATTTAACTTTGTCTTAAATTTATTCAGACTATGAGTAATGTATTAAACTCTTCTGCTGCCAGATAATTGATCTTGTATTAAAAATGTTTAATAAAAAAACATCTTTCAGTAGGTTTTCTATTCTTATGTGACCAGTTTCAGTCATAAGATTTTTATCAGGCTTATTTGCGAAGGTCCTTATTTTCTCTTGTTAGTTAATTTTTTTAATTCAACTTCTAAATTAAAAATTTTCCCTAAATAAGACAATGAATTTTATAAGAAATACACACTATCTCATATTTGACAAGTATTTGTTTAGACAATTTTTGAAAATATATTTTTTAAAAACATTTTCCAAATCTTCCTTAAGGTTTAAAAGGCTATTATAGTTTTTTTTTTTTGTTTAATATTTGTAAATGCTATTCATATTATGGAATATCCTGTGCTATCTGTTAATTTAAATAAGTCATTATCTTTAAAAGGATTAAATAATGATGTTGAGTATGCAACCTGTCTATCCTGCTGGTAATAATTCTGAATTCGTAGGCAGCTAATAAATAATTACAATATGATAATGAGGCTAGTTGAGTTTAATCAATATTATTTAATTATCAAAGAAGTAGATTCAACATAATGCTACAACATTATCCGTTTCAACGTAATTATAGTTGGAAAAATTATATTTTACAAACCTTATAAATAAATAAATATATAATTCAAACATAAATTGTTTATTTAACTTCAAACAAAATTACATTCATTTTACAGACCTATGACGACTAGTTTTCCTCTAAAAATCCTTGTTATCATAATAGAAGAAACACAAGCACAAATCACCTGTGTTGAGTGGTTTCCATGACAACATTCAAATCAGGTCTGCCATTGTTCCTTTTTAACTTGTTCTGATATGAGATATTCTCAATACATACACGCTAATTGCTGAATAAATAATAACTAAATAGAAAAATTCTATTTTAATTTAATAATTTAAATTTATTCTACATCTTAAAATTTGCAATTTGGCTTATCCTAAATTTTTTTTACACAAAAATTTAACACATTTTTCATTGTTCATTAAATTTAATTATTACTTCAATGTTCACACTTTATCGATTGAGACATACTTTTTAATTGTCAGACTATTTTGCAGAAATTATAAATGTACCGGTTTTATTTCCTTTATATGTACTAGTTTGACATAAATATGTAGCATTTTTTCATGGAGCTAGAATAATTGAAAAGTAGTCAACCAAGAGGGGTTTCACTACATTTAAATTAATTATTTAGTTCATCAGTAGATAATAATAAATACCACATTCTATAAATAAAATGCATTTCTTAGGTAAATAATGATTTCTAATTCTACATAATTGATATTATTTAATGAAACAGTAAAACATATAAAGAATATATCATTGTTAATCAATTTCATTAGATTGATTAGATAGCAATCATTTTCATTATAAGATAGAGGTATATTACTTTGAGGTTCTAACTTCTAAACATTATAGGTGTTATTTTATTAAATTAATATATTACTTGAACGATTAATATGTACATATTTGTAAATTGTAAAACATCATTTAAATAAAATTATTATTATTATATTACTAATTTTCAGTAAAATACTTTATTAATTTAAATATTTTTGATTTTTAATAAGTATTACTCAAGAAACAATAAAAAAAAAAGCCTCACTGTACATTAAGTAAAAGATTCAATTCATTGGTTTTTGGCCAAAGAAGTAAGACAAATGTCAATTGCGCTTTTTAATAAAAATGTAAAAGTAATTTACGAAGAGAAGGATGGTTGGAGTGATCAGTTAGAAATAAAAAGACAAAAATAAATAATATTTATTTTAACATTTGCTGATGTTTCGACCTGAAGTTATAATGTATATATATATGGGGGCCGGGGTATCAATAAGGGCTAAGGTGCTTGTAATAGGTAATCAAAGTTAAGCAACGTTAGTACTTGGATGGGTGACTGTCCACCAGGGAAAAACATACTGCCCGAGTCTGTCTCTCCCTCCCCAGGTATGTGAGACCTGTCCGCCTACTGGATGCAACTCACACTGACCGGACATAGGGCTGATGATCCTACCCCGTGTACTTAAATCGGGAATCAGGATGTGGTTTGCCAGAATGTTAGTAGCCCTTCAGGTTCGGTCCATGGACAGTCAGTTTCGGGAGAAAGAAATATAGGTCCTCGTGCGCCTGCTGACTCTGAGCAGCCATAATCCATGGATCTAGACTGATTTGTCACTGTCCTTGAACCCAATTGAGTTGGTGGGAAGGACAACAAAGTGATTGGCTATGGAGCTATAGGTGGCCTGTTGCTGCACCACGGAGACCATGATTCTTGCAACGTGAGGTTGGGTGACCCCCTCCAGGATATCTGTGCTCCTGCAAGCAACATACATCTATCTGTAAGGAGACCACATCTCGCGGGCAAAGATCTTCATAGAAAAAAAATTATAATAAAACAAAATTATATATATAAATAGTGCTTTTGTTTTTAGCTAAATCTCTTTTTGTTGAATCACTCCTTGTGATGATAATATACAATTCATAAAAATTAAAGAATGACAAAGGGGAAAAAAATTACTATCCAGAATTATCTATTTTGAAGAATAGTTTATTTTGATGTTTAATACATACAAAATAATTTATGGAATGTAAAGTTAAGTATAGTTAAAAAAAAAAAAAAAATCAGAGTATTCATTATAGTTCATAAGATGCTGAATTACACTTTCAGTTAACAATAACATAAAAAAAAATTGTTCATTTTTACCACATTATTTGTTAAGTAAAACAATGTTAACATTTATATCCTAATTTTGTTTTTTAAATCTCATACTAATATACTCAGTCAAATTATTCTTTGGCTAATAATATTCGAAAGCCATACATGAGATCGAATACTTAAAGCTCCAATAATACATTTAAAAAAAAAAAAAATACAATTCAAAATACTGTCAAAGTATTTTCTTTACAACAAAGTTTCAACAATCCTAATAAGCTATATAAAACATTAATATAAAAAAATCACTTAGAGGTTAACATAAATTACAAAAAATTATATGTAAAAAAATACACTCAGATCAGATATTTCATTTCTCATTTGTTGCATAAAAAGTTAAAAAGGATATTGATTTTTAAATTTTGATGAAGATACAATGGGCAAAACAATAAAAATAAAATATATAAAACAAAAAAAAATACAAACAGTTCAATTTTTTATTAATTTATAACATTCACAATAAACCTCAAACCTAACTTCTTAAATGTTTAATGGAGCAGTGAGTACCAGACAAAAGTTGTTTATCATCAATCAATATTCTTCACAAGAACAGTTTAACAAATTCATATAATATAAAGAAATAAAAAGAAAGACGACTCATATTACTTTTACCTGTGTAAATGGCTTTCGGGTAGAATTGATTTATTACATACATGAATTCAAATTTGTCATAATATATTTATTAACATTTTAAAATGAATTTCTGATTTAATGAAAAAATAATTTTTAGATGTAATCAAAATATAGCAGAAAAAAAAATGTGTTAAAAGAGCAGTTGATATGTACTGAACTACTGGATTCAGATGTCTTCAACATACCTAATATGCAAACTATTTTAATTAAAAGTTGGAAGTTTGATGTCACATATAAATAATAATTAGGAGAATGATAAAATCTATGGTTAGTATATTACTAATTTTGATTCATAAAAGCAGTTGATTTTTTTATGCAGTTAAAAAAATCATAACTATTCAGACCAAGGTTGCCAAAAATAGAATACAGGATTCCCTATAACTTGCCACCTCAAGATATTATTTCCATATAATATTTGTATAGGATTCCAAAATATTTTCCTATTTTTTTTAAATTTTGAGAATGGAAACAGTTTATAATAATTTTAGAATAAAATGTATTAATGCAGCTAAAGGCCTTTGTTCAAGCTAGAGTTCTGAAGACAGAGCTGCCGAGACTTAAAATCACATGAAAAGATATAAGTAGGTTGATTAAAAAAAAAAAGATATATATATATGATAGGGGCTGGGGTAGCCATACAGGCTAAGGCGTTTGCAAAAGGTAATCAAAGTTAAGTAACGTCGAGCATGGTTAGTACTTGGATGGGTGACCGCCCGATTTGGTTGACTGTCCACCAGGGAAAGCCATGCTGCCCGAGGCTACTTAAATCGGGAATCAGGGTGTGGTAAACCAGGATGTTAGTAGCTCCCCTGAGGTTCAGTCCATGGACAGTCTGTTTCGGGGAAAGAAATATAGGTCCTCATCCGCCTGCTGACTCTGAGCATTCATAATCCATGGATCTAGATCGATTTGTCACTGTCCTTGAACCCGATTGAGTCGGAGGGAAATACACTGCCAGATTGGCCGCAAAGGGATCGGCTATGGAGCTATGGGTGGCGTACCGCTGCACCATGGAGACCATGGTTCGTAGCAACGTCAGGTTGATCCCCTCCATGCTATCTGAACTCCCGCAAGCAACATGCGTCTGTAAGGAGACCACATCTCGTGGTCAAAAATTTTCATGGTCTGTAGTGCCAACCGAAAAAAAAAAAAAAAAAAAAAAAATATATATATATATCATCAATAGTCATTAAAATTGTTTTTCTACAATTGAACCATTGCCCATAGCTCCGGTTATAACCTTTTTTTTTTTAACAAAAAAGTTATCTTTAAATAATAAATTTTGTGTATAACAGTTTTTTTTTGTATTATAACTTTAATTAAAAAAATATCCCCCTCCCTCCCAAAAAAAGTAAACCAGTTATTTTGATAAATTAACTATAAACGGTCATTTTGAAAAATTAATAGAGAAAGGCTAAACCGAAAGAACCGATAATAGTTTATTTTCCAAAAACTACCATATCTAGTAGTAGCCTAAAATTTTGCCAGAAAAAAAAAACAGACAAAAACTATGAAAACAGTTGACAGAGCTATCTGCTATAAAATCCTTGCACCAGAGAAAATATTGACAGATTTTAGTTTTTGTTCAAGCAACCAATGACACAGCTTTGTTAAGAAAACTAGTGTATACAAAAGCCTTCATAATTTTGTGAACTATGTCACACGTACTCTTTCATCAAAGAATTAGAATTTGATTTTTTTTAAATAACAAAATGAAGAATAAAAAAGTCCAAAATCTACTGACTGGCCTCAGGTTGGGTACCCCCCGATTTTCACCATAAATATAATTTTTCAAATGACAAATGTAAAACATTACACAGCTGGTTGAGGACTCATTTGAGAAAGCTATTGGAATCAGATCATTAGGGATAATTTGCCAATTCTTTACACATAATGATTAGCAGCAGTTTACAAGTTGAATTATTTCTATTAAATGTTTTAATGTTTTCACCGAACCCATTGAAATTACAACCTACATTATCTGATTTCATAAATAAAGCCATGATTTTATATAAAGAAAAGATGGCACAAAAGTCATTAACTATCTTGCTTAAGATATACCCCCATCAACTTCTGTAACCATTTTCCAGTTAATGATATCTCTACCATTAAAAATGTTTCAGTATTTTACATCATGTCAATGCAATTTTCATGTTAAATAAACATGATTTTTTACAGAATTTTCAAATACTAGACTTTTGTGCATCTTATATAAATAGCATTATATATAAATATATCGACGAAAATAATAACAAACAATAAAGTTAAGATGCTAACTATAAAAGAGAGCTAATATAAAATTCATAGGAAATATTATTTAGAGAAAAACTTTATATGCAACAAATACAAATTGTTCTATTTCTTTTAAAGTGAAGATTCAGCTGTATACTAAGTCATTAATTGTAGTATTTAATTATAAAATAAAAGCAATGATAAAATTACATTTTTAAGATTTTATGTTTTGAAGATACTGTCAAACTATTACACACAAGAGTGTATATTAATTAATAAATAGAGAACACTGTTTCAATCCTAAATCTCACTGAAAAATTTGTTAACATTCAAAATACTATTACCAATTTAATATTTAATAAATATATTATAATAAATAATCAGCGATTAAAATACTAAAATATTCAATAAACTCTGCAGTAGTTAATAAATTATGCAACAGAGGAAATTAATAAAACCATTTAATGTACCAAACAAAGGCAAAAAATCATAATTTGTAAGTAGTTATATTGTTTTAAAATTTGAATTTTTTAATAAAATTTAATAATTTTTTCATTAGTTAAATAAAAATCAGGATTTAGTAAATAATTGTTTTTATCTTCTACACTTTACAAAGGCATAGGCGCAGACTTCGAGAGGGTAAAGGGTGTGATCGCCATCTCCCAATATTTTGAAGAATAAAATAAAATTAAAATTGATAACAATTAATTTACATGAATGAATAAATATGAAAACTAAAATCAATTAAAAAAATAGAAAAAGTCGACTAGATGGCTAAGCCAAGGGCTGGAAGTAGGTACGCAAGTATTTTACTACGCCTTATATCCCTATTAATGAAAAAAAAAATAAAAGACTACCACTAACAACCCATGAAAGTTTTTTTGGGTTCAGTACAATGCGAGGAAGTACTGTTACAAGGCCAACGGTTGTACAGGGAGGTGACGGGCCAATATCAGGCTCAATTGCTTGGTTTCCCCCCTAAATTAATTATTTAATTAAGAGTACCCACTTTATAGAGGCTGGGTTAGCCCCAGGGGAATCTTCCGGCCACAGGGTCGACCCACGGCTGATCAAAAATTACTAGTATCAGCCGGATTCGAGCCTTCGACCTTGAGCTTAGGAAGTCAGTGCTCACCTAGTAAGCTACCCCGCTCCCTCTATTATTGAAATTTAACTTTATATCCAAAGATAATTAATTATATGTCGCAATGTACCCTAGAATTTTATGACTCATTCATGTGCACCCTTCCATTTTCACATGAACATTTTATCACATTTCCCACAGCAAATTTAAAGAATCAGTGAATTTAGAGGTCATATCACTGTCTCAATCCTTTAAATAATAATAAACGTAGATAATATATTCAATTTCTTTGTAAACATTGTACAACTAATAAATTGTATAAATATATATACATATGTATACATTTTTTCTAATATATTATATTATCCATTTTACAATAAATATGCTGATTATGTTAATTAAAACTCATAATTTTTATATACAATATAAGTTTTTGGGTCTTTTTTTTATTTTGGAGGATGGGATCCATCGCCCCCCAACGAGAATGAAAAGCCTGCGCCTGTCGACAGAGATAACTGAAAATCTTAAAGTATTTGACATGAGAATGGGAACCAATTGATATTGCACATGTTATGAGTAAACTTAAGTAAATATATTTTTATTTTATTTTTTAAAACAGAAATATCGCATATTTCAAATATTTTTTTATTAACATTGATTTTCCATCCTAAATAAAAGATAATTCTTTTCATTTGAAAATAATAAACTATATCTTCTTAAAAACCACCTCATTTTTGTGTATTTTGTGAATTGGTTCCTTTTTGTTAAATTTTTTCCATTTTTAGTTAGAATTTTTCTTAGTTGGTTTGAATTTTTTAATACTTAAATACCACTTTGTTAAAAAATGTTTTTGCAGTATTTCTGTAACATGAATACAGATTCACTGTATGCTATTAAAATACAATGAAAATAAGTATTATTTGATAATGGTAATGATTATAATTATAATGCCTTTGTATTTATGATGGGAAATATATTTAAACCATCCCATGACAGCAGGTATACAAATATCAACATAGTCAGCATAAACTGGGTATGTATATTATTTTGTTTTTTATTCTGTTGAAGATTATGTTATTTAAAGCTAAATGAGTCAAGATTTCTTTTACATAGTTTTTGGATTCTTAAACTTTTTTTTCCATTTAATAGATACTAAATATTATCAAAATTCTATAATAAAAAAACAAAATTCCTAAAAAAAAAAAAAACAGAAATTGATATATATATATATATATATATACATACACATATATATAAATTATTAACACTTTCACTGAGTCAATGTATACTTGAATGTACGAATTAAATTTTGATCCACAAAATCAATTCTACAATGCATGTAAATATGGTTACAAATGAACAATATGGTGCAAACATGGACAATCCAATTAATGGTGGAAAAAACAAAACAATTTAATGTCATTCCTTCAAAAATTTTCTTTATAGTATGACACCAGTAAAATATTCCATGGAAAAAAAAAAAAAAAAATAGAGAAAAAGAGAGAAGAAAAAACGACATTTAATACAAGAATTTTCCCTAAGAGGTTGATTTCATACAACTATAGTGAAAGATGAACACAGTTAATTTGTACCTTCCAATAACATAGACCCGGTCAACGGGTCAACAGGAACACATTTGACCTATCATAAAAATTTATGATTGACATTGATTTTGAATAATCACGTAGCGTGCATGTCATGTGACCTATACAGTAAAATGAAGCTACTACTCTAGAACAGTAATATAATTTAAAAATATAGTTATTAATTATATATGTATATTGTATATATTTAATTATAAAGGAATACTAATGAGAGGTGTATAATATTTTTTCACATTCACAGAGTGACCAAAATTTTGTGAAACAAAGGACTTTAAATTATTTTAATAGGAATAGAAATAAAATAAAACCATAAATAACATTAGTAATACCAACAAAAGCTAATTTATTTTAATAATACAAAATATTTTAAATGGAAAACAATATTTTTAATTTCATGTCATAATATTCCTCTGACAGAAAAGAAGTCCATATTTTTTGTTTGGTTTTTCAAGACAGGGTCTTTAGTTAGGAAGCAAATTAATCATACTCTACTGTGTTTTTCGTAAGATTTTATAGGTATCAAAGAAACAAATAAATCACAAGCAATGGCATGAAATGTGACTTGTATTAACGTGGAGAGAAATATCCTCATTTTCTTCCATATAATTGAAAATAATTCAGAATACACAAATAAACAAACAGTTTTGGAATTTGAATACCAAGTTCAAAAAATAAAATCAGAAATCACATAACACATGTATCAATCTGTGACGTGAATAAATAGGATATTATAAATTACTCCCTCTTCAATATACCCGTATTATAGGCAGCCAACATAACAACGAAAACATTTCAAAAAGAGAAAACTCTTTGATTGAATCCAATCTTTTTCTTTGATCGCAGCTTGACTGACAATCCCTTTTCCTTATAAAGTACCTACATGTCTATTTTAAATATTTCTTCTAACTATTCCTATTTTTCCCCTAATTTATTTCCATATTGACAGAAGATAATGCTAATTAGGTCATTATCCATATAATAAATATCATTTGAAAGAGAACTATTATTCTAAATGCATTATACTATCGCATAATGATGGTGAAAATTAATCAAGACAGATTCTATGAGGTAGAGTGATTATGGGAGTTTTTGTTCTAGGTAGTAATCTGTTTCAAGAATAAACTTGTAATTAAACTAATTTTACAAAGTTACAGATACAACATAAAAATAAATGGAAACAAAAATTTAAAACATATTACCAACCAACCATTAGTATGCAATTTTGATAATTAAAATAATAGTGAGAATTTTAATATTAATTTAAATCATTGTGAATGACTAATTTATGACTCCACTCTCTCAATTATTAAAAAAAATTATAATTATTTTTGAAACACCGATTACTAAACCATAACAAATAAAAAGTAAAGTGGACAGGCGATAAATTTATAACATCAGAAGAGACAAACAACAACGAACAATCATATTTACTAGTTAATTCAATACTTGACCCAACAACAACAAAATAAAATCAATTTTTAATGTTGCCTTTCCACAGAATTAATAGATTATCGAGGGAGTAACCATTGACAGTTTATAAATAAAACCAAAGAAAAAGAAATATACACCTACCATGAATGAATCGCTTAACTTTTTATTTTACTATTAAAAATTTTAAAGTTTTATGTTAAGTAGAAAATATTTTTTTAACAAGACTCCTTACAATAAAAAGAAAACAAGCCAGTTTTCATTATAAATAAAATTTAGAAGAAATAATATAATATGATCTATTCTGTTTATTTGTTTTTAATACAATTTAAAATAGAATTCATCAGCTTAGTTTATAATAAATAACTTTACATATATATGTGACTGGCTTTAAAACTTAGCTAAGAGAATTTTTTTATCTAAAAGTAGCTTGATCATTATTTTTTAAATAAATAAAGAACAATACACTATCAAAACAATAGTACACACCATGACAGCTGTTAAAAATTTTATTATGTATAATTCTAGGAATATGGCAACATTAAAGGTGGGGCTAGAATTTTAAATGGAAACATGTACATGTTATAGCTATACAGTTTTTCATAAATAAACTATGTTGGTTCAGGGGAAAAAAAAATTGTTTTCAAACAGCCAAGATAAGAATTGAACGGACACAATTTTTTGTGTTCAACTACAAAAACCTAAGCCCAGGTTCCTTGTTTAACCTGATCAATTATAACTAATTTCAAATTAATTTTGAATAAGGATGATATAATATAAAATTGTTGATAACTTTGAAAGCTTTGATGCAAATGTAAGATGTACATGATTTTTTAATATCCGGCCAATAATTAAACAGAAAATGTAAACATTTCAAATAAAAATATCTTTCACGGTTAAGGTATATTTATTTTTAACTAATTTCAGAGAGCTCTTATACCATTTCCTTGGTTTAGAAAGTACGAAAAAACAGGGAGAATGTAAATATATATATGCATCTAAAGTTTTAAAAAATTAATGCACATAATAGTTACATAATTTTGAATATTTAACATAATTATGAACAGATTCTTTAAATATGAAACTATTTGATCCCTCACTTAACAGATGAATTAAATTTAACAAAAAATTAAAATATAAAGTCTAAAGCCCATAAAGCACGAAAGATCTTGTTGATGTTTACTTATTAAGTAACAAAATTTTTAAATAATTAAAACATAAATAACTTTTAATTCTTAAATACAACTTATCAAAGCCGGTCAGATATCTGTCATTTTCAGAAAAAAAAAAAAGTCTTAAGATTTTTTCTAATGATTTTATTAAAAATATTCAATTTGAATCATAAAAAATAAAAAACCATTAGAATTGGTTTAAATTTAAGCTATTTTACAAAAAAAAAAATTAAAATTGATAGACCTTGATATGAGACCATTAAATTGTATCAATTTAGTCCCATGCTTTTAAGGAGAAAAAAGTTACATGTAAAAATTAAAATAACTGAAATGGTTCTGGGTAAAATATTGATAGAAACATTCATTAATTGATTATTTATGCTACATATTTTTTGTAAACTTTTATCTATAAAATTTTTAGTATAAAATTATTTTTTCATGTTGTATAATATTTTTTTTAAAGGAAATAATTATTCTTTTCCCATTATTCACATGCCATTAAAATGTTTCAAGGCCTAACAAAGATGAATAATGATAGCTTGAAGACAAAATCGTAAAACCATTCATCATTATTTCTGAATAATATATTTTTCTTTATATATAGATAACTTGATAATGAGCTAATGGGCCAGTAATGTTGTTGTAATGACATATGAATAAAAGGACGAAAGTAATAATTTTCTTTAAAAAAACATTATATGATATTTTAAGAAGGAACCCTTAAAAATTAGTACCGTGGTTAGTAAATAAATATATATAGTTTTTGATGGTTTTCAAAATTTCATATGTGCTGTTTCAGAAATAATTGATTCAAATTATGTAAAATCAATTTAATTCATAATGATAAAATTAAACAAATCAAAACTTTGTAAAGAAAATGGAAATTATTAATTTAAAAACAAACTTCTGATTCACTAGTTCAAAAAAAGAGATTGGGCTATCGTAAAATTTTTGAAAACAAATGTTTAAAAATAAAATGAAAAATAATGATTATCTGAACATTCTGTTAAGTGAGAAATAAAATTTTAACTTTCATTACAATCAAATATATTTTCGAAAATCAATACTAATTAATTAAGTAATAAATAAATATAATCAAGTGTGGAATGAATAAATAATAAAGAAGTCGAGCGAAACAAATTTAAAGAAAGTAGGAGTATTAAAAGTATACCTTTTCAATACTTTCTGTTATAGAGCACTTAGTTTTTGTTCCCCGTAATTATGTTAATATTTATCAAATACATTTAAACAGCTCCAAAGCAATCCATTCTCATTTAAATAAATATAATTAAAATGTTACAAAAATAAATGTAACTAGTAATATTAAGGAAGAGATAACTTCACAAGGAACTTTTAGCCATCTTGAATGTAAAACAGTATATCATTATAAAGTAATACATTTGGCTATTAACACTTTAAATACTTTATTTATCAAAATCATTGAAATAATTGTTCTCAACAGAACAACAATAAACGTCGACAGATAACAAATGATTTTTCATTTTAAAAAAAAATCATTATAAACATATAAAATTAAAATCAAAATATTTAAATACTACCACCATTACGGTGAGGAAAAATACTCAAATCAATTACACCACCCAGACCCAACATACTATAATTTCAAAACACAGCTTAAACCTTTCTCGTAGGTATCAATTTATACTCGACTAAAACCTCTCCAACGATAGCATCAATAACAAATTCGAAACGGCATAACCAACGACAACTAATAATGAAAATAAATAATCAGAAAACGATATCAAATCTGTTGCTCGGACTCCATACATTAAGACAAAATTTTTTATAAAAATATTTGAAACAACCCCTTCCACAATAAATTAATGTGGAATTTTTAAATAATAATTAATAATTTAAATTATAGAAAGAATATGTAGACAAGGACTAGTAAAATTCAGGACAGTCAGAGAGTAGGAGCGATTAGCGGGAATCAATTATCTTTCAAATATTGATAGTGCAATCGCGATTTTCCACAATACACATTATTATTCTACACTACACTACCTTTTCTTCTTAATTTTCTTCCTGTATCCTTTACCGAACCAGCCCGGATTGGAAGGGGTTTTACGGTCTGCCTGATCTGATCCACCGTTATCAGACGTGTCATCCTCTGAGTCACAACAATAACATGGTCGACCTTTTTCAGGTACCTTTGCAGCACGCTTGAGGTAAAACATGCAGGTTGAACCATATGAGTCATGACAAAATCGACATTCCGGTTTAGACAAGTCAAGAGGTTCGTATATCGACTGGTAATATGCAGTGTTAGTTTGATGTAAAACTTTTTTTGCTATTTCCTGATAGACTTGATCGAATATATCGGCCTGTACTGAGATATTGGAATGACAGGGCTCTTCGGCTAAGCGATCTTCCTCTTTGATAACTTTACCGCTATTGAAAATTATCTCCTTTCCGAATGGCCTCCAGATTATTTCCTCTTTCTTGATACCGTAAACAATCTCGTCTAACTTATGTTGAGATATTTCATCGACATCAATCGCCTCCTTCTTAAAACGTTTGATGTCAGGTGGGACGAGCATCAATGAAGACGATATCGTATGTTCTTCAAGTGGGTGAAGCATGGTGCAATGGTGAAAAATCGGATCCATGGTTCTATCATACTCGGGGATTTTTATATTCAAATAACCCATCACCAGTTTCATGACTTCATCACATTTACCTGCAAAAATTAAAAGCTATCAATAAAATATTAATTAAAAAAAGATGCTTTTCATACCTTTGGTGGTCAAAGGAAATAAGTTATAGAGGTGAATAACCAACTTCTTTACAGTATTGAGAAGACTTGAGTTGATTACACAACAAATCATCGGTTTATTGCAAAAATTCACTCAAAAGTATTTTTGATAGAGCTAAACTAAGTATGATTTTGTTAATTTTAACTTTATTTATTGATAAGGAATCACAGTAACTGCACAATGTTTTGATATTACTGAGGGCAAATTTATGAAAGTCAAGAGTATTCAGTGATCTAATTCTATAAAATTTTACTTGATGACTATTAGCAATAAACTAATGATATAAATAATATTGACAACTATTTGAATTAGTAACTTAACGTCTGTGATCACCAATTTATTTGTCATAGTATTTATAAAAGTATATTTATAATAATATTGGGTTGTTTCATACGCTATGCTATGTCAGTTTTCATAGGAAAGGTTATTTGGTAAAACAACTGTATGAAATCAAAAATTAAGTTCAGGATTATTTTTAGCATTGACAGTCTCTATTTAATTTTAAAACTTTATTTGTAGAGAAGCTTTCGATGTCTGTGCACCATATTCATCTCTTTTATTGAACCACTAGTGGGAAAAAAACTACTAGGAGGGATCGCATTAGAAACGAAACTATCAGAAAACAGCTGGAAGTGCCTGAACTCAAAATCACTTTGGAGAACAGGCATAGGTATCTAACAGGACTACCAAGATAGGGATAAATTCAGGAAAATAGTGAAAAAAATAAAGATTCTTGTAGCGGATAAGAAGAAGCAAGAAAGTTAGGTAAGAAATGGACAGAGGAGAGAAGGAAGGAAATGGGAGAATAAATGAAAAGAATATGGGCAGAAAGGAAAAAGAAAAGAACTAGAAGTGATATACGACGTGGTCCACGATTGGCCTGTACTCCATACAGCCATAGTCAAAGCGGGATGAACTAAGAGAGGAAACCAGGAGTTGACAGGACTTATATGGAAGTAGATAGCATAGATAGTTAAACTGTTTCAGGGTAGAGATAGTATGACAGGAAATTTGGGATGTCGATTTTTTTTCAAGGACTCTCAGACTATAAGTATATCAAATGTGAAACACCAAAAATTTCCTTCTGAATAGAGAACTTACTTAAAAGGAGAATTTCTTGATAAAAAATTTTCATTGTAAAATAAAATAAAGGTCTGTCATAAATTATAATAACTATACCATTAATTTTAAGGGTTGCTTGGAAATCCTTCGGTGTCCATTGCAGGTTAACAATGTACAGTTTTGGCCTCTTACTCACTGGTTTATCCATTCCCCAGAGCCACGGATATCGCTTTAAAACCTAATCAAATATCAGTTATTATTTTTATTCGAGTAAAATTAAAAAAGTTCATTATATATATTTTTTTAAATAATGCCAGCAAAGTACTTTAAGACTTGAACCGATGCAGAGGATCATATCAGCTTGTTTGGCAGCGTGACAAGCACCGGACCAGTTGATGGGCCAGGCGAGGCTGCCCCGCTCACCAAAGTGTACGATGGTATCCCTCAGTGGGCAGGCACACGCACTGCAACGCCTAGCCGTCTGGTGAGCGTAGCGTGCGGTATGGGTTGTAACATCAAACGCCCTCCAATACTGAATATTGCACAGTTCACAAACCTTTAAAAAATAAAATAAGTATTGTTATAACTTATGAAAAACATTAACAGAATAATTATAGTCATCACAAAACAGCTTACAGTGGCTAAAAATTATAGTCTTAAAGTTTACTTAATTTTTTTTTTTCATATGAAAATTTAAATTATGAAGAGAAATAGGAAAATTAAATAACAAAAAAGTATCTAACATTCATTGAAGAAGAAATATTAGATTAGCAAATGACAGTAGGCAAGTTTCTTAAAAATTATTAGATCCTTTTTTGGTGCTACCGATGGTAGAAAGACACGTTTTTTTCTCTTATTGCACTGGATGCACCAGATTTGATCTACAGACATCAATGTTCAGAACCAGAAGGATGTCCAGCGATTCTCCTCCAAAAAATGCCCATATATTTCTTGTTTTTTCCCAGTTATTTCATATTTTTACAGTTTTTTTTTTTCATATTTTTCAAGTTTTTTCACCGTAAATACATTTGTTTCAAATGAGGCTTTTGGTTTCAGTACAGGTTACATCGATTAATTTAAAAAAATATATTTTTTTAATTTTCACAAGTTTTTAATGTTTATTTTTATAAAAATAGAAGTATTTGTATCAAAACTGTTTAGATCTTCCAAAAATCAATACAAAAAGATTCAATTTTCTATCAAAGTGGTTCTATACAACCTTATTTGATCAGTTCTGAAGCATTTTTAAAAATGGATGTAATCGGTTTTCAAACCAAATGCCTCAAATAAACTGTAATGAGCACAGTATCAGCTCTTATCGCAAGTATCATGTTACACATTTTTTATTTTATGAAAAATATATTTTATGCACATAGATAATTGGGAGTTCTAGAAACGTCTAATATATAAATTTATTTTTTATTTTCAACCACAGGGAGGTTAGAGGATTAATGTAAGAGTTTAAAGCCATTGCGGCACGGGGACTGGAACTCATAATTATTATTTTAAACCACTGACATTTTTTAAATGAGAATTAAAATAAAAATATAATTAATGAAATAAGAAAGTACATCAACAAAAAAAATATCTTCAAAACTCATTGAAGAAGAAAAATTAGATATTCACTGTGATACATTCCTTCTAATACATAAGGGAATTTCAATATTGAAAGAAATGAAATTAAAGAAGAAACTAAAACAAAATTAAATGAGGATAATGCTTTTTTCTATGATGGAAACTACTCCATTGATATTTATAGCTCTAAAACTTGATACAATAATTTACAAAACAAGCATTATGTTCTTTACCGATAGAAATGATAAATATTATAATGATGTAGAGATGGTTGACTGTTGATATAATATGAGGAGTTAATTGGGGGTGCGGTCAAATAAATACTAAATTAAAAGATAAATACTAAATTAAAAAATTAAAAAAAATTAAATAATTATTATTTTTTAATTTAGTATTTATTAGACTGCACCCCCCAATTAACTCCTTCTCAGATAAATATTATATTTTATATTTTTTCTGGTGAGTTTGAACTTTGTCTCATCTTAAGAACTTATTTATTGAGCATACGATAGAACTCTGGTTATTCCTGGTTTAACTGATGCCTCCCTCAATGGTTTTGATAAAATATTTTTTAAAAAATGGTGTACTGACAAATAACACCCCTCTGACAATTAATTTAATAATATTTAGAGAAAATATTTCTTATTAAAGTCTGGATTTTGAAATCAAATCATTGTTTCATGATTTCGGAATAGTTTTGAAAATGGCTTGCCGGAAGATTTATCATTACCTTCCAGGAAAAAACGGAACTACTTTCTAACTTTGATAATTTTGAACCGTACTCAAAACTTTGTCCTTGAGATCGAGAGATCGTACTTTTCACTCGAACTAACCAAGCTTCCTTATTTTTTTTCTCTATCTTACTTAGCTACATTAGATAAAATATTCCACCTATCACAAAAACCGCACCTATCATCATAGCACAATTAAAAATAAATAAATAAAAGAATTATGATCCTGAATCCACTATTGTACATCACAATATTATGTATGATAGCATAACAATTTGAAAAATATTAATTTTACACCAAGAAAATCTAACTTATAATATATGATATATAAAAAGGTTACTTTCATGGTACACCTATCAGAAATATATTTAACTATAATGTTTTGTTCACAAATGTGATAAAAGAAACTTACTTAGATGGAAAGAGACAATTTTAAGTTAATTCTCATCTTGCAAAAGTAGGTATAAATGACATGAATCAGAATACTGAATAATATTCACCACCTATAATTCATCGTATAAAGGATAATTTATTGTATAAAGTTATCATATGTCAGGTTTTGTATTTTCCCAACATAGGGATGCCCCGTGGCCTCACAGATCTATTGAATAATATTTAGGCGTCGTCCTAAAGCTCTATTAAAACAGACCAGATGCCTTTGCGAACTTGTTAATACTAATAGGATCAGGAGTTTGTTTAGGATGGATAAAACAAACATTTCATCATGTTTTGTACATTTATTTTGCTGAGGTGATGCCAACTATAAAATTATCACCAAGGAAAAGCTATGCATGTAAGATGATACTTTTTTTAAAAGATCATCTTGTGCCACAGCAAGAATTTTTTTTATCTACGAATGCTGAAACCATTCATGATAAAATTATGTTTTATTTAGCTTGATTGTTCACAGAAATACATCTCTGAGATCAAATTAGGAATTAGAAGAATACATTTTTAAGTTAACAATAAAGAGTCAATTTGTTACCTCCAGATTCATGTTTCCATGGACCTCTGACAGGACCCGCCTGGGAAGTCCACTCCTCAAATGGAGTCCATCACAGTTCTGTGACACTATATACTTTAAAAAACCATTTTTATAAAGAGAATACAAAGCCATATGGGCCTTTGTTGGTTCCGCAACGGATAGGTCATGATCTCTGAAAAAATTAAAATCATTTTATTTTTTTATCAGTATCAGGGTAAAAGTAATAATACAGGGTCATAATGAAAGTCTTTGTTACCAAACAAAAAATATATATGGTATAAAAATTGGCTCTGGATAGACAAAGCTAAAAAAATAAAAGTAGTTAGAAAGGTGGAAAATACGTCACTGAGATTCTATTTTCCTCTTATTTTTAATTATAATAAAATAAAAAAGGATTAAATCGTATCATCGATGATATATAGAGAAATAAAAGCTTTGCTAATTATTGTCCAATGGATTGTTATAATCAAATAGTTGTAAGTTCAATATGCATAGCATATCTCCAAGAAACGACTTTACCTACCACATTAGAAAACATTTATACACTAAGATTAGGGAGTTCAAAAATATTTATTAATGATATATTATTTAAACAAGCTATGTATATAATTATAAAAATCATCTTAGGAATCTACGGGTAGATTTGTGATATAAAGAAAAAAAAAATTATGCAGTACCTATACCGATAAACCGATTTTAATGAAACATGGCCAAAGTCTTTCCCTCAGCGAACTTTAAATTTGCATCTATAATATACTTCACAAAAATGGTCATTTGAAAGTATACTAAAATACCAAAAAACAAATCATTAAAATTGGACGATTTGGTGAAAAGATATGTTGTTATAAATATTTACCGAATGTTCTAAAGCAAAGCTGACCTTTGTTTTATCTTAAAAATCTGTATGCCATATCTTTATTAATACTGGATGGATATTTTGATGAAAGTTTTATTATCGTTTAGGAAATTTAAATGTCTTCATATGTTCTGACCCAAAAAGGGCAAAAAATGCATACTTCTTGAATTATTCGAAAATATAATTTTGTATTCATCAAAACTCCTTTTCAAGTCCTTTTTCAAGGAAGTATGTTATATACATCAATTTATAGTGTTTCATAGGAAATACTTTAGGAAAGTTTTTATCAATATTGTTACAGCGGTTTTAGTGCTGTAGTCTAAAGAGAAACGGAGTTTTCCGCCACCATTTTGTTTCAAGATGGCTGACGTCTCTAAAAATTGAAGAACCGTGTTCGGGTGGTTCCAAAATGGACCAAAACCCTGCCTTCCACTGATGACTTTCGATACAGTGAAAAGAGTCAATTATTTCCAAAGTAAAATAGACAACAAATAACAACTAACTATTTGAATGTAAAATGTACAAAGAAACCCGAGGAAAACTCGAAAAAGACAGGCTCTAAGAATGCTGATTGGAAAAGATGAAAAATTTCACCAATGAATCATATAATATTTAAAAGATACTAGAATCTTTAAGGGATTGTAAATGTAATATAAAAAGGAGTGGTGCCTAGTTTAGAGCATGGCACCAATATGTTAAATAAATAAATAAAGTCATTGTGTATTATTTTATTTCTGACATCAAAATTTCTATCCCGATCCTTATTTGAATTCAATGTAAAATAATACATATATCACTGTTTATTTTTATTAATTCTTTATTTGATTACATAAACTAACTTCCTCTGCCTTTTATTCCATTTTAAAGATTTTACTGAAAACTTCAGAGGAAATGATAGTCATTTGTGCTCTTCTAAGGCACTACAAAAATAAAGTAAATAAATAATTAACAGGAAAATATAGTGCATCGTAACATGACAGTGCTTTTGTCTCAGGCCGTTCAATTGGGGCAAGGGTCTCCAAACTATGTCCATAATTGTTTGGAGCCAAAGTTTCTTTGATTAAATGGTAAAATTATTTACAAAATACGAAATTTGGTTAATCAATGAACACAAGGTTATTATATATTTTTGTGCATAATTTTTTTTCCCTCTTAGACAGCTCATTTCACAAATAAAAAGTCATTTATAAAAATATATCTGTTTTTAACAAAATTGGGAAAAAACATTGTTTATTGACAGAGATTTCTGACTATACTACTTGACTAAATTATTAAGCTCCCATTTTGACTTTGGAATTGTCAGTGCTTCAACACAATTGGTCATCGTGATGTACAGTTATCTAAAACAGTTAATCTAATCTTCAAAAATAACCTTCATCTCAATTTTTCAAAGATAGAGAAAATTTACTGAAAGGTGGATCTCACTCCTAATTAAACTATTACCTACAGTTATAATCCAAAATGGCTTCTGCAATACCCAACGAATTGTAAATATTATTATTGAATTATGAAAAAATTTAACACAAATAGAGGATCTAGAAGTTGTTCAGACATAATATAAAATAACTACTACCTATTTATTCAATGCTAACTTTTCCACCAACATTATAGGGGTAAAAAGACATAAAAAAACTTATATAAATATGAATATATTACAAATTTGAAATAATAAATGTTAAAGATGGAAACCAATAGTATCAGATATAATAATTGACAAAAGAAATGAGTATAGTAATCTGATGAACCAAGATGGTGGCGGGTTTTAACCATAGCACGCTACTACTAGATTCCTGAAAATGCTCGAACATGACTGAAAGAAGACAGAGATGACTGATCTTCAACTCTTGATAGTTAATATATTACCCACCACTTTAAGAGGGAAATTCTTCTCAATTATACAAAATGTTTACATTAGATTAGGCTACATCTACTCCCCACCATGTTCACTTCTTTTTATAAATAAATAATAAAGTGAAATGAATGATGAATTACAGCTCTGAATGATGTAAACAGGATTGTCAAAACTTAGCTAATTTTGGTTTTAATCGAGAATATGAGAATATCATGCTCTGGGTGATCCAGAATAGGCCCCCATATTGTAGTAGTGGATTTAAACTAGTTTCAATTTTATTTAATTTAGGAAGAGAAAATATATAGCAATAAGGAAAGTAGTAAGAAAGATTTAGAATTAAGATTCATTGTTTTAATAATTTATTTTATAACTGTTTAGTTTTTTAAGCGGAGCGGGGTAGCTCAGTGGTAGGGCACTGAGCTTCCAATGCAAAGGTCCCGAGTTCGAACCCCGGCTCAAGGCAGAAAATTTATTTATCTGTTTCATTGGCCGTGGGACGACCTTGGGTCAGGAGTCTCTCCTGGGGCACACCCAGCCTCTATAAAGTGGGTACCCTTAATTAAATAATTAATTAGGAGGGAAAACCTGGCGGTTGAGCGTGATCTCGGTCAAATCACCTCCTTGCACAACCGTGGACCTAGAAACAGTGCTTTCCCTAAATAGTACTGAACCCCAGACCCTTTATGGGTTGTAGTGGTACAGGTTTTTTAGTTTTTTAAAAACACATAAAAAATAGGCAAATAATTCACATCAGTAAGCATATTTTTAAAAAAATTCTGGTGTGGTGTGCGCATCACAGAACTTTCACTTATCATCTTATCTTTATAGAAAATTGTGTTGCCATATATACGAAAGTAAAAACCACACATACCATACAAAACATTGTAGCCGTGTTCAAAATATATTAGACTAATGTAAAAAAATAATTGCTGGGTTCTAGATAAATAAAAATCATTTAAATTAATAAGAAATAAAAGTGAATCCTGGCAACATAGAATTTTGTTCAAAATCTTAACTTCATAAAAATAAAAATGGATCTTCAGTAAAAATTCTGAGCTTTATCCAAAACATTTGGAAAAAAAAGAGTTAATATTAGTAGATATATAGCTTCAACATTTAGCATAAAAATCTTTTAGAAAATTAAACTAACAATAAAATAACCATGTACAGACATTAGTAGTTTAAATAGAGGATGACTCGTTCCTAGTTTGTATTTATCTGTTTTAAATTAGTAGTTACAATGTGAAATGATTAATTACTTTCAATAAATAAATTAAAGGTACTTTATATGAAAAAGTTTTGGAAATTCGGTATTTAAGATGTGTTAGAGAATTCAATGAGGATAAGACCTACCTTAAACTAAAAATCACTTTATAATACATTGATCTAATGAGTTTAATAAAAACCGTTGGTCGTTTTCAGGAAAATCGTAAAAATGTGAAAATCGATGATATAAAGTGCCACTTCCGGTGACACCAAAAAAGTTGCTTTAAAATCCCAGGCACATAAAAACTTTAAATATGTAATATCAATTTTGTACGACTTTTCGTTTTTGAGCTAAACTATTCAATCACACATAGACCATTTGGATTTAGAGGATCTAACAACATGTATTTCCACTAAAAACTGAGATTTGATCATTTTCACGATCGCAATAATTTCTCTTACTATATATTACATATATAGGTAAGTGAAAGTAAACAAAAAAAAATGGAACTGTAAATAGAGGACATATTGTTTATATCTAAAACATTCATAAAAACTACTAAATCTTTTATTCTTATAAATGGAAGTTAAATCAATTCAAACAATACAATTTCTTATCCATTCAGGGAACATTGCTAAATAGCAATTTTTTTTTCCCCACACCATCATATTGTATATTGAAACTTTAATTTTTTTACAATTGATGCATTGAGTTAATATAAGTACAAAAATGAAGAGAAGAATAGTTGGGGTGCTCAGTCAAAAAGGAAGGCAAAAAATAAATTATAATATTTATTTCTTACTAATGTATTATAATTTATTTTTTGCCTTCCTTTTTGACTGAGCACCCCAACTATTCTTCTCTTAACATTATCCACGACAGTCAACCAATTACCAATTATAAGTACAAAAATGTTTGAGAGGCTTATTAAGGTGAGCATTTTCATGAATTTATAATAAAACAGATAGACTTTTGAGTTATTAATGAAAATGAAAACTGGTTTTCAATACTTTCACTCTTGCTCCGAATGTTTAAATATGGAACTCTGATAAAAAAAATACTTTCACCTCTCTTATTGATGGATTGATATATTCCTATTTAATACTAAAATTACAAAGCATATAAGCATTTAAAGCATATATAGATAAAAATTGATTTTAAAGAAATGTATGCAGATATTAGGATTAACTAAACATTAAAAATATGTTTATTAATAATAACATCCTAAAATATTTATTAAGTGCAGTAAGAAGATGTACTCAATAAAGGTGAATTGATCTTATCAAAAGGCCTAGCTCACACCTTATCAAAAACACACACCTTATCAACCAATTCTTATGCACTAAAAGATAATGTTATCAGAAAAATATAACCAGTTAAGATAGTATCAATAAAGATAACAGATGTGTATAAACAAAAACCTGATAACAACACATTAAAATTGCACCAATGTATACATCTTCCTAAAAGAGAGGGCAGTCTTGTACAATTTATACTAAACGGAATAATTAGAAAATCATAAAGATAGCTTAACTATACCAATCAAAATTATTATAGGATTGAGTACATTTGACCATAAGAAATGGGTTTCAGTAATTATTGGTGAAGTAACATCTTTCTGTTTTCAAGAGTTCTAAAATTGTATCATAATAAAACAAAATATTTAATTTATTCAAAACAAACAATAAAATATTTTGTTAGATATATTGTTGATTAACTGATTTATAGTAATAGTACTCTACACTTACTAATATACTATGTCTATAAATCGTTGACGGGATAAATCAAAGACAAAATAGACAAGTAAAAAGGAGGTGATGAATGTAAAACACTATGTCTTTAACAAAATATAGTTTATTTTGGATCCAGCAAGTATATGACTTTAAAAAGTAAATATTTTTCAAAGTAATTAATGTTCAATTAAGTAAATCAATTGATCGATAGTACAAACTAATGAAAAATTGTTACTTAAGGAAACAAAATAACAAAATTTAAACATACCCAATCTCTTTCCCTTGTTGTAAACGAGTCCAAATCCCATTTGTTCCCCTGTAGTCTGGTATTTTTGCGGCCGTACTGACACCAGCACCACTGTAAACTACCAGATGCTTCGCTCCAGCTATTGCTTCAGCTAATTTGGCACATTTTTCTTCCAGCAATTCAGAGCTATCTTCAAATTCCTTTTCTCTTGCTAATATTTGTTGTCTTTTCTCAAGCCTAGGTCACACACACATATACACAAGTTTATCATTGAGAAAAAAACTACCAAGAAACATTGCAATTTTTACAATTTATATTTTTATTTACCGGGTTAAAACCTGTTTAACGACACTGGCTGAATTAGAAAGCAGCTCATTATCTTCTTTTGATCTATCTTTTTCCGATTTTTGTAATATCTTATAAACCTAAAATCGATTACAAAAAGGATTACTTAACTGCAAGCTCATAATAATAATTACAGTATTGACACAGATAACAGATCACTGTAAAAAAATACATAAACGAAACTGTTGACACCTTCAAATACGTTGGGTTTCTACTTTTCTTCTTCACTGCAAAAACCACTTTCAAAGATGCTTTCCTTCTTAAACCGGACAGTTTCTTAGATATCGTATCAGCCATCGTAACTAAATTAACGAGGAATTAAGAAGTTCTGAAATTGACTCGGGAAACAATAACATATTAGAAAATAAATAGGGATTACCCGACGACAGGGGACTTGTCGGGAGCTCCAGAGGGGATAACTAACTAGGCAGGTGGTATTATGTAGGTACTGTAACCACTACGAATAATTCGTTTTCAGAATTCCTAACCTGGACTATTTTGTTTCTTTTTCTTCTTTTTTTTGTGACTACCTTTATCCGTGGTTTATTTATGAACTGTGCTTATTAAGCTTTTATGAGTAGGTGGGTATTCATCATTTTTTTAAAATAATTCTCATTTAAATTGTTCAATTAATATCGGTCTTTACTACACATGCGCCACCAATGTCAGATGAACCTTGTGAGCAGATAAAGAAGTTCGTTTTTAACTCTAAAAAAGAAGGTGGTTCTTCTGAGACTTTGGAGATACTTATTCCTGAAGTAAGTTATAATTATTTGAATACCTAGCTTTTATTCGAGAATACGTGATTACAGTTATTTGTGAAACGGCAATTCGAATATTCTTTTGTAAAATTCGTTGATTGAAATTAAATTGAGCAAATGAAACACTTCTGCCGGTTTTTACCTTAAGTTATTATTTTAATTAATATCAGCCTGTTAACTGTACATTCCCATTGTTTCTCACATTGTTATGACTTGCTTTTTTGGAAGTTATTTTATGTAAGTTTCTTTTTGATAAATTTTTATTTTCACTGGTCATGTTGTCTTCCAAGTATTTGTATTAATCAAAATCAAATTTTACTTCATTAACTGGTTATTTATATTTTAACTGAAAGACCTACCATAAATGATTTGAATATTGTATAGTATTAATGTATAATATAGTTTAGAAGAGGATAAAAATTTATCACCCAAAGTTTGTTATCTCTTTTGGTGTGAGTTCTGAATCGCTTGCCCAAGATGGTGGCTGGTTTCAAGATCACTTTGAACATACTATAGAGGCAATTCTGAGGAATGTTGGAAGTAACCTAGTATTGACAATCTTGTTCATGTTTATAGTAATTAATTATTATATCATAGCAGGAGTAGATTAATCATTTTGTTTTTTATCGTAAGAGTATTGATATCACGTGTGGCTCAAATAAAATATATATCTTTGTAGGAAAGATATTTATTACACTTAATAATAAGATCCCATAACTAACTATTGTAATATTTAATTAAGTATTTGTATAATCTAGGATATAAATTCATTTAAAATATAAAATTAATTTTTATTTGTAGCAGTGCCTCAGTATCATCGCTGTTAATTTAATTCCTAGCATTTCAATTAATGCTGTTTGTAGATACTGTGCTACAAATTTACTTTATTCTCTCTAAAGTGGAAGTTTTGAAAGGGTGTCCAACAGCCTTGAATTCCTAGAAAATCGAGAATTGCTTGAATTTTTTATGGCGAGGGTTATATTTGAATGTTATTATTTGAAGAACTTCAGACCTCAGGAGCTTTTAGTTTTATAATTAAATTTTCCAATTAGGCAGTACTTGGTAACAATTGTATAAAATATTGACAAGACTGTTAATGTCCATAATTATGATATGGAATAAAAATGTTACTACTCTTATTACCCGATGTGAATCTGGTACCATGAACTATCTTTATTTAAACTTTAAATTATTATTTCTCTGCTTTATTTTATTTTATAATGAATTGAGTCCTCAGTAAGACAGTTTTTGTAATAATTTTTATTATAAAACAGTTACAAGCTTTATAGTTATTTAAATTCATTCTTAAGTTTGAATTGTTTGTCTTTTATCTGAAGCTGGCCGTATATTTTATAGTTCTGATTTTGTTTTAAATTTGATTCAATAAAATAATGAATTTTTTTTTTTTGCTGGACTACATGTTTGATTTACAGCTGAGAAACATTTTGACAAATCAGCTCACACTTTTATTTATATTATCTTTTATAAATAAAAATGTGAGCTGACTTATCAAAATTTTTCTCAGCTCCTGTAGTCCAACAGAAAAAAAAAATTCAAGACATTTTTCATTATTTTATTGAATCAAATCTAAAAGAAAATCGGAACCATAAATTATATAAGACTAGCTTCGGATTAAAACAACAATTGAGACTTGAGAATGAATTTAAATAATGATGATGGGAAGTATAGCAGTCCGAATTTATTATAAATATTCTGTAATAGAGTATGAAAGGTTAGGACTGGGTCTGCTCCATCTTCAATGTGCTTAATGCGGTCTTAAATCGATGAAATCAACCACCATTTTGTAGTAGTGATTTGGAACTAGTACCAATACATATATTCAGATGTGTATATATATAATTCTTTTTTAAATTATCTATATTATTAGTTTTAACTATTTTGTTTTGTTTTTTTAGAAACTGCAAGCAAGTTACAGTTTCTACACTTGGCCGTGTGCACCCATTCTAGCCTGGTTTTTGTGGGAACACAGAGCAGATCTTGCTGGAAAACATATATTGGAACTGGGGGCTGGAACTGCTCTACCTGGTATACTTGCCGCTAAGTGTGGTGCCACAGTAACTTTGACTGACAGTGCTGTATTGCCCAAGTCTCTTCTGCATATCAAACGCTGTTGTGAAGTGAATGGTTTGAACAGTAACCAGGTACGCGTGACTGGACTGAGTTGGGGTTTATTTCTCACAAGTACTTTTGCTCTTGGACCTGTCGATTTGATAATCGGTTCTGATTGTTTTTATGATCCATCTGTTTTTGAAGATATAATTGTCACTGTTTCATATTTGTTGGACTGTAATCCACAAGCAAGATTTCTTTCAGTTTATCAAGAACGGAGTGCTGATTGGTCAATTGAACATTTGCTGCATAAGTGGAAATTGCGCTGTGAACACATTCCTCTTAATACTCTTGGAACAGAGTCGGGAGTTGATATTAATGAATTGATGCATGATCATACCATCCATCTCCTAGAAATTACGAAAAATTAATTCACACCATAATTAATGGCTACTGCTGCAAAATCGTTGTATAAACTCTTTGTTTACAATCTACCTTGGACAGCTAACAGTGCCAAATTGAGAAATTACTTTTCCAAATTTGGACCGGTGGTTTCTGCTAATGTAGTATTTGATAAGAATACTGGGCTGACAAGAGGTTATGGTTTCATTGCCTTCAATAGTAAAGTAGAATTTGAAGAAGCTCAGAAGGGAAAGCATACTTTTGAAGGTAATGTAATTGTCATAGAACCTGTATCATCTTAGTTTTATCCTGGGAAATGGCTGAATTTCTTCAAGATGCTTTACGATTAAAGTTTGCAGCCGCTGCTGATTGTTTACCTTCCTTGGTTTCCTCGTTAAAACAGGAAAAACTTTTAGAATTCTATGCTCTTTACAAGCAAGCAACTATAGGTGAATGTAATACACCTAGCCCCTACTGGTATGCATATGAAAGCAAACGCAAGTGGGAAGCATGGAAAGCTTTAGGGGATTTACCACAAACAGAAGCTATGATTAAGTATATTAGCCTTATTGAAGAAATATTACCAGATTGGGAAACTAATCAAAAAAATGATCAGAAAAAAGAAGGTTGGGTAGCTGTTAGTAGAATGGCTAATGATGAAATCGAAATTAATGAGGAGGATAAGAACATTTTTGATAGAGTTAAAGAGGGAGATATTGACAAAGTCAAATGTTTCGTGGAGAATTGTGGAGCAGACATTACTGATGAATTTGGAATGAGTTTATTACACTGGGCAGCGGACAGAGGGTTGTTGGATATGGTAAAGTTGCTGCTGGCCCACGGAGCCAATATAGATATGCGAGATGGATCTGGTCAAACTGCTCTTCATTATGCCTGTTCCTGCGGCCATTCTGAAATCGTTGAGGTCTTGTTGCTGAATGGAGCCCAACCTGATTTAATATGTGATGATGGTTTTACTCCTTATGATTTAGCTAGTGAAGAACTCAGAACTCATTTTAAATCAGCCAATTTTCCATAATTTGTTTTTTGTTGTGTAGTTTGTTTAGTTTAATAAAGTTTTATATGAATAAAATTTGTTTTATTTAATCATGAAACCAAATATAAGAGATGATGATTGTTGTGATATAGAACTAAACACACAGCAAATTTATTACTATTTTTTTCTACTTTGTAGGTCTTGTTAACCCTTTAATATTCAGTTGCAATAAGTTTCAAATTTTTGTATTTGATTCTTACACTCAACCAAAAATATTAAAATCGACCGTAAACCCATTACCTCCGCATCAAATAGTAAAGCAGGTTTTGATTTTTCTCAAAAACAAGTAACAAAATCAGCTAACCCATGAGGAGTACTAAAAAACACTTCTTAGCTCTTCAAAACAGTTGCGTTGACATCACATGCGTCTATACCAATGGGTCAAAAAAATCAGAATATGCTAGATGTTCAATAGTTTTACCGGAAGAGACTATACTCTCTACCTTCCATTTACTCAATCCTATCCTCTAAACTCTATCTAGCCTTAAGCATAATTATAAATGAAACTAATAATAACCACATACTCATTCTCAATGATTCTTACTCAGCCCTCAAGCTAATAAAAAACTTAAATTATGCAAAAGCCCTATAGTATTCAATATCACACAGATCACTCAATTAATTAATAAGATTTCTTTGGATTCCCAGTCATACAGGAATACCAGGCAATGAACTGGCTAACAAAAAAATCTACCATACTTCCAGAACCTGGCATTAACATTGTGCAGTATGACTACATTACAGCAGTTTTGAATCGATCTAAAGAAGACTGGTGCAATTTTTGGTCCAAGGTTCCTAATACAAACAAAATGAAAAACATTTTTAATGACAATGATCCATTCCCACAGATATAAGGAAACCGTCGTGAGCCAAGTATATCACGCCTCGGAATAAGGCACACGAGGCTCACTCATGGGCACCTCCTCGACGGGAATTCCTAAGCTATAAGTTGCACATGGCACCCAAATATATAATATATAATCAAATAAATAAAATAACTTTTTAAATCACTTAAACAGTCATGCAATGTACCTCAAATGTTGTATTTTAATAAAACTTCCTTTTGTTATAACAAGATTCTCATTTCCATAAAAGTTCTTATTTTAACTTTTACAGAATTGGCAATTAAATTAATGACTATTTTATCTCAACTTAATGTAATGCAATAAGATGTATGTGAAGGGTTATGTTTTCAATAATTTGAGCTACAAAACAAATCTTAGTTCTTTATCTTAAAACTGTGGAAAATGGTATTACTGTAAACTCTACAAAATATGTCAGTTTATTAATTACGCCATTTGGTGTATCACATTATGAGCGTATTTAGTTCAATGTTTAATTTTTTTTTTCTTGAAACATGATAAAAGTAATTGAATTTTTTTTAGAAAATTTGTGATTTATCTTTAAAGTTATGTCACTTATTTACATTAAATAATTATTGCATGGAAAAAACACTCAATAATTTTTTGTTGAATTGTAAATAATAAATTTTGACTTAAAACTAATTGTCATAAATAATGAGATTTTGTTTTACTTACTTTTAAGCCACTAGGAGAAGTTAAGAACAAAACAAAACAGTACATTTTAGCTGACTGCTGATGTATTAACAAAGATATGAATAAAAACAAAAAGTATTTTATTTATTAACGTCAGCTCACATTAAAACAGTAATAAATTTACTTTTGTATTTTAATTTTTCATTATTCCATTAACCGTCATCTATTAAATCCAAGGTCATATATTTCTGCATAATTATTGTAATCTAATATTATGGAATATCAGAAATATTATACATTCAGATGGTTGTTGATAATTAAAGAAGACAAAACTGCTAATTTAGAGGACCATATCTTATTTTATATAAAGTAACCTCTATTGTTTTTAATAAATATCATCAAACGCCTAACTTAGCTGCAAAATTTGGTACATGTCAATTTCATTTTGATTTTATTATGTAATTTGTTCAAAGTTAATTGAACAAAGTCAATATACAGCCCTTGGTAATAGATATAGAGGAAAAGTAAGGCCATTAAAAATTCCTCATTTTCTTTTTTGAATTAGATTTTGATTTATTTAATGAAATAGTTGTGTATGGAGACATCACCAATCTCTACTTTTTCAATCAATCTTGATTTATATACCATACCACATAAGGAGGTATAAAGTCACCTGGGGTCCCACAGAACATTATGAAACAACTTATTTTGATGTCAAAAATTTTTTTCAAGGTTATTTAATCTCTCATTTAAAGATGAATTTTTTTCAAATCCATCCATCACATTACTCTCATCATTGTCGAACACATTTGATGCTGGAATACTCTCCATTAGTTGCCATAATTAGCAAAAATGTTGTTGAACATGTTGATAGCTTAGTTCACCATACAATTTTTTAATATCGATGGTAAACCACAGTGATAGCTCAGACTTTAAATTAACTCCAAGGGGAGGATCCAAAAAAAAAGTGTGATCTGTGCCAGCACACGTTCAAGTCTATTCAGCACATAAATGGAGGTTGCGGAGCGCTGGCTGGTACAGAATACCTCATGAGGCATGACGATATTGCAAAAATTTATCATCAGACAGTTGGTCTAAAAAGAAAGTTAGTGAATGATTCGATACCTTATATTGTACCATATAGAATGAAATTATACTGGAATCAATATTTTATAACAGACCATTGTGTTGATCGATAGTAATATGAAGACCGCTGAGATAATAGTTATCGCTGTGCCAAATGATGGAACACCAACTCAGTCTTGAGTCAAAAAAATTCAAAAATATCAAACTCTGGCAACCAGGTTAAGAGATTTGTACAGACTGAACAAAGTGACAGTGAGGGTTTTAGTGATTTCTAGTAATGGGCTGATCCCAAAATTCACTATAGAAGCTACCAGTGTTCAATGGGATAAATGTTTTCTCTAAATTTTTGAAGTATGTTGCATCTGAATTTAATAGATCGTTTTTTGAAACAGGATATCTACTAGCACATAAATATGTAAACATATGTGGTGATGACGATGAAATATAGTAAGTATCCTGAAAAAATATTTCCCCATCATACATTCTTCGCTCAAGGATCATGTATCTTCCTGGACAATGGTATTTAACAATTCATCATGGAGCATAGATGATTTTTGGGCCAAGCTATATAGCCTTGGTCAGAAATATTTAATAAAAAAAAAAAACCTTGAAGAATAGAGAAGAAATTGGAGGATTCAAATAAATACCAACAAATCACATTTACTCTTTGTCGTAAACTTACAACTTCCTGTCCTAAAGTATCTTTCAATAATATTCCACTTATCCTCATTGAACAGATCCTAATGAGGACTCAATCTGAAGAAACCTCTTGAAATTCTCATTGAAGACAGGAAACTGGTTTATATCTTCAACATTTATTAGACAAACTTTAAGTTTCCAATTAATTATAAAAGGCTCTTAGATATAACTGTAATAAGACCTATTTGAACTTATTTACATTTTGGAGCTCCACTAAACCATACAATCCTACACATTCTTCACTTATTATTAGTAACAATATGCATAACAACCTTAATGTTCCATATGTAACAGATCTGGTCCAATCCAGATACTTACGTTCCATAATAAACTGCAATCCCACCTGAACCCACTAGTTTCTTACTTGGTTTCCTCTACAATACCTGATGATTCCCTTTAGCCAGTTGAAAAGAAGAAGAGCTTGGGACCTTCCAACTTACATCTGATGTAGGAATGCTACCAATGGGTAGTTTCTCTACTAGTAATATGTAATTAATGTATTTTTTATTTAACTAAAACTAAAGGAAAAGTCGAAAATGAATCCCACCTATTTGTCATTTAAGTAACCAAAACACCACAAATGATTTCTTAAATTATTAAAAGATAACTTAAAGCTTTCACTCTCTTTCTCCATTCTATTTCTATATTATCTTTTGTATGTTTATTACTAGGATTACTCTTACCATGGAATGAAAAAAACCACTGAACACCTTGTTTCCGAACACTTAGGAATTAGCTTCTTTATGGTTTTATCTTTCGACCGACAATATCAAAAATATAGAATAAGCCAATAAGATTTGAACTTCTCACTAAATTATATTAATCTGCCCCTTTATTCTTTGTATTATATATAACTTTTATCCTAAAAATATTATTAATTACATTTGTATCTTTACATTCAAATTTACTTATTTCCAAAGAAAAAAGAAATAACTAAAACTGTAATTACATTAAGAAGGTATATTTTTGTTGTAAAAATAAACTGTACAAATGAAAAACTTTACAATATATACAAAAATATATGTATAAATTAAATATGTTCATAAATATAAATATACATTCATATTTATTTGATGATAAAGTTATATAGAATGTTAATTCTATTTAATATATATATACATAATTTTACAAAATATACAATTTTTTTAAAATACATTTGTTGCCATTTACATCTTTAAAAAAGTAATTAGTTATGACAGGCAAACAACTTAAAGAAGAATCTTAGGCTAGGATGAACACATCCTAATGTGTAAAAATGAAAACATGTTTCCCAATTTCTTCAGACAGTTGGCTTGTCAAATACCTACCATATTGAACTTTTAAAAACATTTTATTTGTAATTTATATCTTTTATTAGATCACTCATCATAGTGTATTAAAATATTTTTAGTAATTAATTGATCATAGATTTAAAAATGGACTCCTGTTAGTCCTAAAATAAAAATTTCAAATGGTTACGTTCCAATCATATTTCAATTCATACATTTAAATATATATATATACAATAGCCAACAAATATTTTATTTTTTAGCTCCTATATTAGAATAAAAAGTGATAGACTACAATGTAGGTAAATAAAATTTGTTTGAAAATGGCCAAAACATAACAATATGAATTAAATGTTGAATGTCTATGATTAATTAATAATTAAAAAACAAATAAAATTTGCTAAGTATCCGACTAAATCAATAAATAGAAAAA